GATTCGGGACAAGAAGGGAGCGGAGAATGTTGCTGCCGATCACCTCTCCCGGTTGGACGCACCCCCTGCGGACAACCTCGAGGAGGAGATCAACGACTCCTTCCCAGATGAGAGACTGATGATGATGTGCCTGGTGGAAAGTGTCACCCCCTGGTATTCTGATTTTGCGAACTATCTTGTGGGCCAGCAGCTGCCCAAGGGGATGACAACTCACGCCAAGAGGAAGTTCTTCTCCGACTTGAAGCACTACTTCTGGGATGACCCTCATCTCTCCAGTATCGGAGCCGACGGGATCATCCGTCGATGTGTTATGGAGAGTGAGATGGAGGGGATTCTATCTCACTGTCATGAAGGACCTACTGGCGGTCACCACGGAGGGAACCGCACGACGAGGAAGGTGCTCCAGTCGGGCTTTTACTGGCCCACGCTCTTCAAGGACGCAGACGCCTTTGCACGGAGGTGCGACCGCTGCCAGAGGTCAGGTAACATCTCTGCCCGTGATGAGATTCCCCAGAATGTGTTTATAACTTGTGAGATTTTTGATGTCTGGGGTATCGACTTCATGGGCCCCTTCCCTCCATCTTTTGGTAATACCTATATCCTTGTTGATGTTGACTACGTCTCTAGGTGGGATGAGGCGCAAGCTTTGCCCACTAATGATGCTAGACGTGTTTGTGGTTTTCTGAAGCAGCTATTCTCCCAGTTCGGGACACCTAGAGCCATCATAAGCGACCGCGGCACCCATTTCCAGGGTCAGTTCGATAAATTGCTGTCTCGCAACTCATAAGGTGTCCGTGGCCTACAATCCTCAAACAAGTGGCCAGGCCGAGCTGACGAACCGGGAGCTCAAGCGTATCCTGGAGAAGACGGTGAATCTATCCCGCAAAGATTGGTCCACCAAGCTCGATGATGCTCTATGGGCATACCGCACTGCCTACAAGACGCCCATTGGTACCTCACCGTACCGGCTTGTCTATGGAAAGGCATGCCATTTGCCCGTGGAGCTAGAGCACAAGGCCTTCTGGGCCCTTAAGCTGCTAAATTTGGATGTTAGTGTTGCAGGTGTTGAGCGCAAAATGCAGATGTTGGAGCTGGAAGAGTGGCGTTATCACGCCTATGAGAACACCAAGCTATACAAGTAGCGCACTAAGCGCCTGCACGATGCACGATTGCGGGGTCCGAAAGAGTTCCAGGTTAGTGATCGAGTTCTCCTTTATAACTCTCGCCTGAAGCTCTTTCCCGGAAAACTCCGTTCCCAGTGGTCTGGACCGTACACGGTCACACAGGTGTTCCTGTATGGCACGATCGAGATTGCCAACCCGCAGACTGAACCATTTAAAGTGAATGGCCATCGCCTCAAACTGTACTTGGGAGGCGAGGTCGAATGTGCGGAGTTGGCAGTGGACTTCGCGGACCCTTAGTTCCGCCATGGGCGTCCATCTAAAAGACGGTAAAGAAGCGCTTGTGGGGAGGCAACCCCACCACGGTTTGCATTTCTACCCTTTGTTTTTTATTTATTTATTTATTTCATTTGTGTCGGTTTTTGAGTCTTTGAGTCTGTCTGGAGTCTGTCTGGAAAGTTTTTCGTGCCTCGGGCGGTTCTTTTTAATGTGTAATTGGGTAAATTTTAGAGTCGGGGCACGAATGAGTCTTGGTGGTTTGAGATTGGAATTTTGAAAAAAGGCATTTTGCTCTCGGCAGTAAAAACACGGGCGCCAGGGGAGGAAAACACGGCCTTGTTTTCCCTCCTGCCCGCCCGTGTTTTGGGAATTTGGCCTGCAATGCTCTCGGCAGTAAAAACACGGGCGCTGGGCTTCCAAAACACGGCCGTGTTTTGGCCCCAGCCCGCCCGTGTTTTCAAAGGTGTGAAATCCAGCCTCGGCAGTAAAAACATGGGCGCGGAACAGGCCGAACACGGCCGTGTTCCAGCCCGCCCGTGTTTTGCCCTCCCCCCTATAAAAGTCGATTTTCACCCCCCTCCACCCACCAGAATCATTTTTTTCAAAATCCCAGCCATCTCTCTCGCCGGAAACTCGGCCCCTTCATCTTCTCCTTCAATTTTCCGGCCATAACTCCCTCTCCCGACCTCCAAATCACAAACCGCGAACGCCCCCATGCTCCTGGCGTCGAGGAGCACATTCCCCAAAGATTTGGGCTTGTTTGGCCGAGGTTGTGTCGCCGGCGGTGAGTTCTCCGGCGAGTCTCCGGTGTGTTTTTCGGCGACTTAGGGTGCCTTTTTCCACTTTCTTCACCTCTCTCGTGGTCTCTCCTTGCGTCTCCAGGTGTGTTCTCCTTGTCCTTTCTTTTATTTAATGGAGAATCGATACCTAGAGTTAGGTGAAGAACTTGTGATGGTGGAATGGTTTGGGGATGATTGGGTAGGCCGATGACGCTATTTCGTTGTTCTATTTTTGCCTCGGGATTTCAGTCATTCGGCCTACCATTTGCATGTTGCGTTGTATGCGTGCTTGTGTGGTTTGTGGATGGTGCCTCGATTGGTGCTTATTTAGTATGATTTTGGTATGCTTGTTTCACCGGGGGCCTAGTCCACTGTCCGAATCGCCCGATTTGAGGGCTCCCAGTGTGTTCTGTGGTGTAATTCTCGTGTGATGGGTATGCTTGTTTCGCCGGGAGTCTAGTCCACTGTCCATATCTTTCGATATGAGGGCTCCCGGTGTGGTTTTGGCCTAACATTGACCCCGTTTGCTTGTGTACCCTTTGTACTTCCTTGTGTTTTGCAGGATCATGGAAGCTTATCTCGACCGGTTGAGCATCACTCAACGCCACCTGCTGCGGGCCATCCGTAACCGCACCTTCGCCGAGCACCTGCACCTCGATTTTGAGGTGTTCGAGGTGCTTCATGCCAGGCTGCAGATGGAGGCCGTGGTTCGCCCCTATGGTTGGCGGCGTCTTCTCACCCTCGCCGAGCCGACCTACAAGGAGCTCGTCTGGGAGTTCTACGCCACCTTCCACCACAACTCGAAGGGGAACTCTGACCATGCTGATGCGGTTCAATTCACACTCGGCTGGGTGGAGCACTCCCTCAGTTACTCGGAGTTCGCCAATGCACTTCGTCTCAATTCCCCGGAGTCCGGCGGGCGGCCACTACGCTTGGACCTCTCTGATCCCAGCGACTTTGCTTCACAGGCTTACTTCCAGCGAATTTGCCTGCCGAACCATGTGGATGAAGAGTACGTTGCCAGCCAGACGCTGGCCTCTCTCCTCCGTCCGGAGTGGCGGATCCTCAACCACTTGCTCACCCAGTCCTACACACCCAGCAAAGGCTAGGCCAACCGGGTCACACTCCGGACACTATGGTTGATGCATTCGATGGGTCTTTCTGAGGACACCATCCAGCTGGGCTCTGTGCTCACCCGGACGTTCACCAAAGCCGCCGCCAGCCAGAGTCGCAACCTTGTATGTGGCCCGGTGATCACCGCCTTGGCCCGCCACTACGGGGTTGACTACACTGGGATGACCTTGGTCCAAGGACCAACCCCGCTCAGCGAGGCTACCCTCCACCACCAGCACATGGTTTCTCGCCACGGGCGTGTGCACTGGATCGCGGGCCTTCCTCAGCCACCTCTACCTACAGCGGGCGACCAGCCCGAGTCGAGCGCCGCTGGTGGACGCCGAGTTCCCCGTCGCGCTGTTCGTCGTGACCAGGCTCCTGCGAGCCCCTCTCCTGCTCCCCGGTCTCCTACTCCAGGGTCTCCTCCTCTAGTGGTGGTGCCCATTTCTGACTAGTTGGCGGCGATCGCTCAGCAGAATGAGCGCATCCTGGCCGGCCAGAAGCGCATTCACACCCGCCTTGATCGTGAGCGGGACCGAGGGCGTCGTCTCATGTCAGGCCAGCACTACATCATGTCCTACTTGGGCTTGGACCCGAATGCGGTCCACTACCCGTTTGTGCAGTCCCCGGGGTTTGAGGATGAGTACTCTCCACTCACCGGCGATGGTGGTGATGCCTTCTAGAGCTGGTTCTGTGCTTTATTTGTGTTCCAGACTGAGACTCCATGTTTTGTTTTGTTTCTTTTTACCTTGGATTGTAGACCTGGACCTCCGGTTCTTTCACCCAGTGTGTGTCTTTTGTTGTCTCTAGCTCTGTGCCTCCTTCTCTGGACTGGTCTGCCTTCCAGTCCCCGATCCTGTTCTCCTTTCACGGTAACATCATTCCCCTTCCCTCTGCTCCATTGAGGACATTGTCGCATTTAAGTGTGTGTGTGGGGGGGGGGGGGGGGGGTTCTTTGTATGAATTGGAACGTATATATGTGTGCTTGGAGCCTAGCCCACTGTCCAAATCTCGAGATTTGAGGGCTCCAAGCACTGCCGTTTGCCTGATGTTTGATCGTATTGGCACTGTGGATGTGATTAGTGAATTGAATGGCTTTTGACTTGACGCATGACAACTTGAGTGTGACTAAGACAGCTTATTATGATGACTGAGATGAGCAGTAGAATTGTGTAGGGGTTCAGTTTTTCAACTGTTTGCTTACCAAATGTGACTTGGTTTGATCACTTGCTTTTGACAGTCATTTATGCATCTAGTTCAGGGAATCAGAACGAGAGATAGAGCATATAGGTAGCCATGTGAGACTTGAGCCTGCTCGTTTCTTTCTTGTGCGATAGTTCCCTCTTCCATGATATGCAGCATTCACGTTGTCATTAGCTAGGATGATGGAGGCATAGGATTAGCCCACGACCAAATTGACTGTCCTGGTGTGTCATACCCCCTAGTCAGCCCTTTGAGCCGTGTGTTTTCCTTTCTTTCGGTCTTCAATGAAAAGTCACCCTTTTGCATCTTTTAGAAGGTTCCACAGAGTGATTTTTACATGTTCTCTGCTGTTTCTGCTAAACGTAATGTGAGGGTTGGAGGTAGTGCTTAAAAGTTGGGCAGGTGTTTGAAAATGTGCAGAGGTGGTGGTTCTCTTAAGAAATGAAAAAAAAACAAAGAAACAATGAAAGCAAAAGAGAGCCACCACCAAAAATTCTGAATAATGCCCATTAAGTAGTGTTTCTTAGCACTCTGGCTTAGATATACTAGCATTTATGTGACCTCCTTCGCTCTTGTGCTCTGAATAATTTGAGTAATGTAGAATAGCAGAAAGAAAGTTATTAGTTTGATTGACTGCGAGTTTGTTGGGTTTGGATATGTGGAACCTTGTGCTGTATGAATACTTCCACCACCTAAAAGGCCTTTTCCCCATGTCCGAGACCCTAGCCAGTCATCTGAACCTGTGTCTAAGACCTCCGGATTAGTTAGTGACACCCCATATGTGAACTCTAGCACTTAGAGGTTGCATTCATGATGAAGAGATGTTAGGGATTGAGAGATTAAGCATGCGCATTTTTCGCATCAAATTGTCCTGACCCCACTGGTCGAGAGTGAGTGATTCATTTTCTCATATTCTCTATACTCTTTATCCCGGTGAGGACCTAGATTGCTCGGTCTTAATTCTGATATCTTGAGTTTTGTGCACGAAGTGACTGTTTTGAATAAGTGGTTGAGTCAAGTCTATGTTGGTTGGTGAACAGAAGGGAGACTCTTCCTTTGCTCGACTTTACTGCATTCGAATGTCATCCGTGGTGGTTGTCTAGGTTGTCATTGAGGTTGTCCATGTGTTAATGATCAAAAGCCAGTATGATCCACGTTTTTGTACCGATATGATATGCCCTAAAGCATGCTTGATTGAAACGTTTTGAGCTTACCTTGTGTCTGACTTGGTTTGCTTGGGGACAAGCAAACGGTTAAGTGTGGGGGAATTTGATAACGATGTAATTGCACATATTTCCACCCCTAGTTCTTATCCGTTTGAGGGGCATGGTCGTGTATTTTTTGCCTATTTTACGCCGGGTTGTGCTACTTTGTCATATTTCAGGTCCCAGACGTCGAAGGAAAGGCTAAGCACGAGTTTCGGGGCATTCGGAAGTCATTCGGTCGAGCTGGAGCCAAAACACGGGCACGCCTAAATCAGAACACGGCCGTGTTCCTAGACCGTGCTTTTACTGCCGAGACTTGATCTGAGTTTGGAAAACACTAGTTCAAAACACGGGCAGGACTGAGACAGAACACGACCGTGTACACCAAAAGCACGCCCGTGTTTTCCCCAAAAGTCTGGCCATGTATTTAACACTTGGCAAGGGCACGGGCGGGCTGGAGCAGAACACGGCCGTGCCCTCGACCGTGTTTTGCCCAGTGATTCCCTTTTAGGCAGATTTCAGCCAAAACAGAAGGGGATTCGAGTTTTAGAGAGACAGAGCGATTCCTAGAGAGAGAAAGCGATGAACAAGAGTCCCCAAGTGCCCTAGCTTGATCTTCATCACCATTGGAGCTTGGCTTGAGCTTGAGCTTGGAGGAGTGCCGATCAACGTCCAGGAGCAGAAATCCATCCTTCACAGTATGATTTCCGCGTCTGAATATGCTTTTGCTTCTTTCTCCATGGAGTAGTTCTCCCATTCATCTGGGTATGGGAAACCCTAGATTTGTATGTTAGGTTTGATTGTATGAACCCAAGTACTGATTCTATGATTTGATTATATTCAATTGAGGTTTGAATGATTGAATGGCATGAATCCTGATCAAATTCCTGTTGTTTCTGCTTTAACCTAGAATGAGAATATATGCCTAGGTTGATAGAGCATCATTGATTGAAGGTAGGGAGTTGGTGACTTTAGTCGAGGAGCCAACTCACTATTCTGTACCGAATTCTCTTCGGTAGTGGAGGTTTTGTTCGTTAGGGCCTCAATCTGTCTACTCCGGTGGAGGTTAGTCGCCCGCTAGAGACTCAGATTGAGAGGGTTTGGAGACCTTTAGTCGAGACTTCAGACTGCTTAAGAACCTTCCGCAGTATAACTATCATAGAAACTGAACTTGGTAATTGCAATCCGGCTTAACTGCAGTCTAGGGGGAACCATATCCGGGTGACCTCTCTTAACCTGAAAACAACCGTTTACTTGCTTTGCTTGTTTGTTAGTTTAGACTTGCATTAAAGTTTCATTGCTAGATAACAAGAATTCACCGAGTAGTCATCAAATCTAGGACCCGGGTTGACATTAAAACCCAAACCTACTATACTACGCCTTAGGAAGTGATTTCACTTGGCCATTTTCTAGGGTGATAGTAGGAGTGAGTCAGCTTACGGCCCATGAGGAGGAAGGAGTCCATGCAGAGGAGGGTGATCATTCACGTGGCTAGGAGTAGCTCAAGCTTTGCCGCGTCAGACTGTTGCTGCTAGAGAATCTCGGCTTAGATTATTATTAGTCATGCAGGTCGGTGTTGCTGCAGTCGGTCTTCCCTTTGGGATTTGTTTTTTGATTTGTTTTGCTTAGGATTAGTAGAGATACGATCGTGTGATCTACCTAATCGTAGGAGATGCGGGAGTTGGTTGATTGTAACCCGATCTCAGGTCTAGGTTATCAGTTCTCTATATAAGGACTGAAATGAATAAGAAGCAGCATCAGAATTATTAAGCCGAAACACAACTTTCAAACTAGTTTGTTCCGGCCGTAAGCGGAACGCAATCACTCCGATAATTGAACGATACCAACATCATAATTATTCTAACTCGCTAGTAAGCGGGTGGGTCAATTTAAAACCAAAACCCACCCAACCCCATTGCCCACACCCCTTGTATATAGAAGTGATGTTTTGAAAAATCTAAGTTTGGCATCTATCAAAACTTTATGCTTGCTAATCCTTATAAAGAAAGAGAGAAAACAAGAGATATGAATTGTGCATCATAACATAACATGTTTATTTTGACAAAAACAATCAACAATTATCTTGGGAAGTTGACTATAAACAAAATGACTTTCTAGATTGCGAATTAACTCGGCTAAATAGGAATATGAAAATATCATGGAAAAATAATAATAATTCAAGGTCATCCTAACATGCCGATCTCAGGCACACTGTTCCAATAGTCTGTCCGAAGTTTGAATACAAAAGAAAAAAACAAACGTTTAACTTAACACTTAATTATGTCTAAAGCATAAAACATGTCTTATGTTTCTTTTTCATCCAAGTCTCTATATTTTGGGTTTGGAAGTTGTGATTGTTAAAGTTGTGTTTGTTGAATACATGTATTATGCACAATACAATGTTTGGAAGTGCCAAAGTGTAAAACAAAAACAATGCATGCATTGTTTTAGGTAGGTCCCACCAACAATCACAAAAAATGATGCAATATAATCTCAAACAAAAGTTGAGATTGTTGTGATTGTTGTTTTTAGATTTGTGTCAACTTTTTCTTTCAATTTATATCCCCATAAAAGTAATTTTATGTAAATCAATGCATAAAGTAGAATTTCAATAACCAAACAATGTATTATTAAAATGCATCCATTGTATCAATACATACATTTATATTATGATAATTCATTACAATCCAACGATTTAACATTCGCAATTTCCAAACTATTCCGTATATCCATCCCGCTCAAGGGCCGGCAACAGCTGTACGTAGCATTTCCAGACGCGACCTAACAGACAAAATCGGAGAAAACAAGGCGGAAAAGCGAAACATAATTTCCCCATATGCCGATATTACCTCCACTCATAAAAACAAAACCATAACATATCTCTTTTCCATCTTCCCAAAGCTAGCCAGCCTTAGAAAAACCGAGAGAGATCGATGGAAGGACGTGGAAGCAAGGGTCCGGCCGTCTGTGTCACAGGCGGAACAGGTTTCCTAGGTTCATGGCTGATCATGAAGCTCCTCCACCACGGCTACCATGTTCACGCCACCATCCGACACAACAACAAGAGGGACGACGACATCACATTCCTCACCGACCTCCCCGGAGCGGCGGAGAACCTGAAGCTGTTCGAGGCCGATCTCGGCCACCCGGAAACCTTCTCCGCCGCCATCACCGGCTGCTCCGCCGTCATCCACGTCGCCACCCCAGCCCTGGACTTCAACAACAACAACCAAGACCATCATACTGCAGAAGAAGCGATCGTCGAGAGATCCATAACCGGAACTCTTGGCATACTGAAAGCGTGCCTGCACCACTCCGAAACGGTGAAGCGAGTCGTGTACACATCCGGCACAGCCGCCGTCGTTTACAACGGTACTGATGACGACGGTACTAGAGTATGTGTAGTATGTGACTAGTATTATGTTAAACTACAAGTACTGTTACGTAATTTAGTAGAGTTATATTACTTATAATACTCATGGTTCATGAAAATGTATCGGCAAAGTTAGCGGTAGATTAGACCGTAGTTCAACCGTTAGATACCGTCTACCTTTTGAGCCTCGGATAGTGATATTTCATGGTTGAACCGCCAGTACGGTATGATTTCATGGACACTGTATAAGAATCGTCGTAGAAGTTAAGTAGCTTTCCGTATTAGTATTATTATAAAGAGGTCAGTAGTACTCTATATAAAGTATAAACCCTATGTGATTTCAGTAATAAGATATAACCGTTTCCACCGTATTTCGATTTACCAACAGATGGTCACGAAGATCAGATGATGGACGAGAGCTTCTGGACCGACGTGGAATACGGGAGGAAAGTTATGAAGAACAAATTCACGAGGACGCTCATGACGGCCAAGACGCTGACCGAATGGAAAGCGGTTGAATTCGCTAGAGAGCATGGTATGGATCTTGTGACCTTGATTCCTTCTATTGTTGTTGGGCCGTTCATTTGTGCAAAGTTTCCTGCATCCATCCGGCTGGCGCTTGCGATGGTGTTTGGCGAGAAGGACGACGGTGGCGGCGGCATGATGACGGAGGTGTCGATGGTCCACGTTGATGATGTTGCTAGGGCGTATGTGTTCCTTCTGGAGAGCCCGACGGCGGAAGGGAGGTACATATGTTCTTCGAGCCGTCTTACAAAGGATCAGAGGGATAAACTGTCGGCGAAGTATCCTGATTTAGCAGTTCCGGCGATGAAGTAAGTAGCTTTTACATGGAGGAGAATTCAACTTTGTCGATACCAATTTATACTAACCATTCTCTACCAAGTGGTAATTGATTAATGTTCTGTCTGTCTGTTTTTTTTCTTTCTTTTCTTTCTTTCCTGTTGCAGGTCTCTAAAGGATATTAAGGGTCTTAAAGTACCTAAGATATCATCAAGGAAACTGTTAGATGCTGGATTTGAATTCAAGTATGGCCTGGATGATATGTTTGATGCAGCGATTAAATGTTGTAAAACCAAATGTTATATATAGCATGGTTAAAAAAAAAAAATCTGTAAATCTTTTCCTATGAATCTCTCTCTATGTATCAACACGACAACCGTCTGATTTTCTAATTTTTTTTTTTATGAATGATGAACTTTATTACTAAGAGAAAAAGAGGAACTACAACACAAAAAATAAACACCTTTACAAGCAAGAAGAAAATTTTGAGAAGAAAAAGAAAGAAAAAAAAGTTTGGTAAAGCAATGCCAAAACTCAAATAGAAAAAACAAGAATCAGTATGGGAACTTTCATGACCGGTGACAAACAAACAACTAGCACTAACAGAAAGAGAAACAAAAACAATGGAAATGCCCTTGAACCTCAAGGCCCCAAAAAACACCTATACATTGAAACAAAACCAAGAAACAAAACAAAGGAACAACCATCAACCATCCCCAATCCTTACCCATTGTTGTAAGTGGGCGCGTCTGAAAGAATTTTAAATGCTCGAAGCCACCTCCCAACAATTTGGATGATCTTGTGACACAAGTATATGGGGGAAATTTTACTATCTCTAAAAATCATATTGCTTCTTTCGCTCCATAGTGACCAACACACTGCATGTGGCAAGACTTTAATGCAATCTCTGAACTTCAGATCACACCTCAATCCTCTCCAAGCATGGAGAAAAAACCGAACCTGAGCGGGGAAAAGACCATGCAGCTCTAAAGCTCTCGTGAAGAATTCCCAAATTATCCTTCAGAATGGGCATGTAAACATAAGATGTGAAATTGACTCCTTGTTGCTTTTACACAAGGAACACCAATTAGGAATGCTCATTCCTCTTCTTCTCAAGTTGTCAATGGTGGCAATTTTTGATAATGAGGTCATCCAAAGAAAGCAAGAAATCTTTGAAGGGATGAAAGAAATCCATACGAGCTTGTAGGGGAAGGAGCTGTCACCTTCAAAAGAATCATCAATGAGGTGATGTGTGAAGGAATGCACAGAGAAAATCGATGATCGCTCCAAGGGCCAAACCAAACAAGCTGGGTCGACACAAGTCCAACTATGTGGGAGTGAAGACAACAAATGCATCAAAAACTCGTTCTACTTTAGCCCCGCCTCTTAGTGAAACTATAAGGGGATGTCCCAAAAAGATCTGCCATCCAAAGAAACCAAGTCAAAAACAAAACATCCTTGGGAAGTGGACCCAACCCTTGGGAACTCTCTCACCAAGTGTTTCCCAGGAATCCACACATCATGCCAAAAGGACACACCATAACCCCCCATGATTAATATAAGCAACTATCCAAAAATACGAGCTTTTGTTGACAATAGTACGCCATAAAGAGCAACCATATGATCCCAAGTTCCAACAAGGTTTCCACTCTAAAGAACCTATTCCACATTTTGACAGAATCATTTTCCTTCACCAAGCATCTCTCTCCACGCGAAATCGCCAAGCCCATTTCCCTAAAAGAGACCGGTTAACACTCCTGAGATCCAAAACTCCCAAACCTCCTCTCACCATAGGGGTTTTCACCAAATCCCATCGAACCCAATGCAATCTCTTAATATCCAAGACACTAGACCACAGAAAATCAATATAAATTTTCTCCAACCTTGCAATCACTAATGTAGGGGCCTTAAAAAGAGATAATAAGTATATGAGAAGATTTGCAAGAACGCTTTTTAACAAAATAAGTCTCCTCCCAAATGAGAGCATCCTAGCCTTCCAAGAGGCTAAAAGATTTTGGACCTTTTCAATCATTGGTTCCCAAGCTGCCAAAGAAGTCATTCTAGATCCCATAGGAAGCCCCAGATAGTTCGTCGGCAAAGAAACTGTCTCACATCCAAAAATGTTAGCAAAGTGAGAAGAATCTTCCACCTCCCCCACAACCATCATGGAACTCTTGTGTAAATTTACGCAAAGATCTGAGATGGTTTCAAAAAGGGTTAGAGCTGCGAGGAGATATTGAACTTGAACTTCAGAAGCATCACAAAAAATAAGGGTGTCATATACATATAGGATATGAGTTACCTCACCACTTTTAAGATCCTCATTCATAAAGAAGCCTTCAACTAAACCATGGATTTGAATCTTTTTTAGGATACCCGATAAGACCTCCATCACAATAATGAAAAGGAAAGGAGAGAGGGAGTCCCCTTGTCTAAGCCCTCTCTCACTTGGAAAGAAACCAAAGCTTCACCATTCACCAAAACAGAGAAAGAAGCTAATGAGATGCAACCTCTAATCCAAGTGAGCCACAAGTTAGAGAAATTCATGCCTTTGAGAACAAAAAGGATGCACTCCCAATTCACATGATCATAAGCTTTCTCAATGTCTAATTTGAATACTAGCCCAGGTCTTCCACTACGTTTCCTTGAGTCAAAGCTCATTTGCGATTAAAACGACATCAAGGATTTGACATTGCCTTATAAAAGCACATTGCTCCAATGCGATCAAACCACCCAAAAATGCTCTCAATCTTTCCATGAGCACCTTGGAAAGGATTTGGAGAGGCTAGAAACCAAACTGATGGGGTATGAGATCTTTAACATCACCAACAACTTCTTTTTTGGGAATCAAACACAAGAAAGTGTGGTTAACACTCTTTGGAAGAACCCCAGTAGTAGCAAACTCATTCAAAGCCTCCAAAATATCCGACTTCACAATGACCCAATATTTCTTAAATAATCCCAAGGGAAAACCATTGGTCCAGGAGCATGGTCTCCCTTGCTTCTTATTATAACCTTCCAAACTTCTTCATCTCCAAAAGGCCTCAACAACACGCGGGTAGCATGAGGAGGGAGAGAAGGGAAATCAAGTCCAAAAGGAAAAGGCCTTTTAGAATTAGCTTCCTGAAAAGAGACTCGTAGTATGAGACAATAGCAGTAGCCAATTGTTCTTGGCTTGTGCGCAATACCCCACTCACCCAAATGTTATCGATTAAATTCCTTCGGTGATTGAAGTTTGCTACCTTATGAAAAAAATTTAGTATTTTTATCCCCAAATCTGAGTCGTTTGGATGTGGAAATTTGAAAACGTGGGAATTTGTCTGAATTTCCATGTTTTACAAAACCTAAGAATTGACTTGTGGAAATTGAACACAATTCCACGTTTGGATAGGGTTTAGTTTTGTGGGAATTGATGGTGTGGAATTTGGTAAAGATACAAAAAATGCCCTCCTTTGTTTATATACATATACCCCTCCTAAAGGTTGTTATTGTATTATACTAACTACTAATTGTTGCTAACTTAAGCATAGTTAGAAAAATATGATATGAAAAAGTTATGTATAAAATACGTACAATTATTTTACTTCATCTCTAAGCTAATATTACATTTAATACTACACTAAAAACCATAAATATATAAACTTAATTATTTTAATAATAAGTACATATATAAATTACAATAAAGTTAACTATTTAATTCATTAAATACGGATATTAAAAGTGTTTAGGCGAATTCGATGAGGAGAAGTAGGAAAATCGACGGTGAATGAGATAATCAAGCGAATCCAAAATTAAGAAATTGACGACGGATTATAGGAGATATAGTGTGAAATTGATTTCATGCTCAACTCGTTTAAACACCTCCATATTCCACTTCTTGATGACCTCTTTCACTTGTTTAAGCTTCTTTGCACGTTTGAAAAAACCCCCCAAAGCCCCCACATGAGACCTCCACCAACTAATAAGCTGATCCTCGAACTCGTCATGATCACTCAACATAAACTCAAATCGCCAAGGTCGACAAATAGTACGATCTTCCCCACAAGAAAGGAGGAGGGCACAATGATCAGATCCAATCCGAACAAACGATTTCAAACAACAATTGGAAAACTTACTCTCCCAATTTGGCGAAATAAGAGTCCGATCCGAACGAGACAAAGATGGATTTTCCTGTTGACTTGACCAGGTGAATTTATAACCAAGTAAAGGAAGATCAAGCAGAGCAAAATCATTAATGAAATCATTAAACAATGTCATATCCATAACATTCATTGGAGTTCCAATGACATCATCCTGAGAACAAATAACGTTAAAATCTCCTACCACACTACCGGGGAAATTCCACCAAGTCCAACAAGAAGCTAATTCTTGAAAAAAGCTCGTCTATCACCTCTATCATTTGGTCCATAAACATTGACCAACACCCACTTGAAGCCATCATCTCTCTGAGTAAACACCACCACCAAACAAAATTTTCCAACCCAAATACCCAATGACATTTTAATTCATAAACTGGTTTATCCCAAACCACCAAAAGGCCACCATATAATCCCACTGATGGTTTGTTAACCCAAGTACCCAACCCATTCCTTGACGACCACTGATTGAGCCTAATAATGCAGTCTTGACAATTTTCAAAGCTTGACAATTTTAAAGCTTTGTCTGATTTTCTATTATATGCTATACACTTAACTCAATTTCATTACTCAAGTAATCCTTTTCATTCTTGGGGTCGTCATTTTGGATGATGAATTTTAACAACGAGAAATTTGTGCCCAAAGCTCTCGTTTAAAATGCCTGAAAATTTATACGCGGGATTTATTAAAATAACGCATTTGAAAATAAATGAGATTTCTCATAAACGGGTTAAAAAAAACTAATTTATCCATATTCCTCAATGCTTGACTGAAAAACCTTTGCCAATGTTGTAAGCCAACACTCAAGAATCGCTAGTCGAGGCTCAAATCCTACGCATCCATAACCATAATTAACGGATGCTTAAGACATGAGTTTTGTGTTTTGGTTGAAAACTAAAGACTTCATTTCTTAGGCACTCAACATTCCTCCATCAAGAGTTCAATATCTCCACTTACGAACATGCATTCATTAAAATCTTAGGTGAAAGTTGGATCCCTTAGTTTTGATCGTGTTTTCTTCCGGCATTTCCTTTGGCTTCTGTTGGTCGGATCAGGTGGCTCCTCTTCTCTGCTGCTGCTGGTTTCTATCAGACGGGACATCTCCTTTAATTTGGTGGTTGTTGCATGCTTTTTGGCTTTCTGAGTGTCTCTTGTTATGGTTTTGCCCACGGTGTGTAGTAGTCCTGAAAGTGTTTGTGGGGGTTAATTGTTACCTGTGCGGTTGGTTTGAACTGCAGGTCCTTTTTTCCTTAGTTTCTTTTTTGTTGTTCGGCTTCTGTTTGGGATGGTGTTTCATCTCCCTGAAGGCTTTTCACTTCTTGTGAGGCCTTCTTTGTACAATACTCTCTGTTTTCCCTTCTTTTTTCAGTTTAATGCATTTCTCACCCTTATAAAAAAAAAAAAGACTTACAAGACTCATAAACTTACAGTTGGGTACTTTGATTAGGAACATCGGCCAATAATCTCAATCAAGGTCAAATAGTTAAATGAAAGCAAATTGTTTTAAGTATTCAAAATCCAGCAGTATAAATCATCAAGCAAATTCATATGGCCAACAAACTGGTACAAAGTAGTCTAATTTATTAGCATTGACTATAACCCATCTCAATAATAAATCTCCAACTCGATTGTTTTGAAGGAAAACTTCAATTTATTGGAGGAGGCCAAAATGGATGTTTGGGGCGATAAATCCCTAGAAAACTCATTACAAAACCTATGTGGAAATGAAGAATATACAAAACCTATTAGAGAAGGCTAAAATGGATGTTTGTGGCGATAAGTCCATAGAAAACTCAATAATATAAACCTATTTGGAAATGAAGAATACACAGAACCTATTGGAGGAGGCTAAAATGGATGTTTTTGGCGATAAATCCCCAGAAAACTCAATAATACAAAGCCTATTTGGAAATGAAGAATGTAGCAAGATGTTCAGATAACTTAAATATTATGGTACAAATTGAACTTGTATCATAATATAATGGTACAAACTGAATTTGTATCTTTAATTCCTATCTCTTTATTGATGATCAGATGCTTGCTTTTTTCTTGCGTACTTGTTCTCTTGATATTATTTATACAACTATAAATTTTGAGCCAATCAGGTATCATCGCCTGTCAAACTACTTATTCATTTCCAATAAGAACTAGACATGCGTTTCATATCCCCATGTGCTTGGGGATACCGTTTGATCCGTGAATCCAGTCACCTTCCTTTAGGACATTACTCAGCGATAGAGAAAAATAATGTTACGATACAAATTTTATTTAGACCTCAAAATACCAATACTTTAGAATATAGTAGAATTACTCAAATAATAGCTTCTCAAGTCAGGTTCATGTTAAATGGGGGGTTTTGTCCCCTTACAAAGTTAATTTAATTCATGGGATGGAAAGGGAAGGTTGATCACATGTGAGGTAATTTTGGAAGAGGAAAATCAAGTCACTCTTTTGTTTCTTTTTCGTCCAGACTTATTACAATACCACATTTCTTTTAATTCGAATTTTGAATTTTACTAAGCTACTCTTTTAATTCGAATTTTGAATTTTACTAAGCTACGAAAAAGTATTATATGTTACAATACATGTTCCTCTAATCAAAAGTCTTTTTATTTGATCTTAAATGAGTTAATGTGTGAATAATTTCGCCTCTTCGCTATGAATTAGACCAGATCATTCTTAACCGTCTACGTCCCGAATCAAACTATGCTATCCTATTTGTCGATATACTATTTTTTTATAAATGGTATAGTATGTCTTTTATGATCTATTACATGATTATCTTTTGTAAAAAAAATAAAAAAATCCAATGGGAGGAGGCTAAAAAGGATGTTTGGGGCGATAAATCCCTAGAAAACCCAACAAACATGAAATACACCCTGTTCGGAAATGAAGAATACCCAAAGCAAGATGGGCCAAACTGCTACAACAAATATATTCAAAAAGGCCCAAACCAAAGAACAGAAAAGAGACGTAGTTATAACACCACCACCCCACCTTATTTTCCGACTATAAATAAACCCTACATTCACCCGCCCTAAACAAGCACCAATTAATCACACAAATCAGTGATCTGATCATATCCATGGATCAGCTCGGAGCAGTCCACAGGAAACTGCTTGCTACGGTGGGTTTGGCGACCATCCTCCTCCTCATCGTAATCATGGCACCACCCTCGACCTGCGAAACCACGACTCACATCACCAACAAGCTAAGCAGCGGGGTGCTGACGGCGCATTGCGGATCCAGAAAGGACGATTTTGGCACCCACACTCTCGCCGTCGATGAGGGCTTCGGCTGGAGCTTCACGGAATCGTTTGGGACGCTCTTCTGGTGCTACCTCGAGGCGGAAGGCTACCGTCTTCATTTCGACGCGTACGATGGAGGGCACGAGAACAAGTTCAGCGAGCAGTGGGAGGTCCGTGATGATTGTGTTCATGGGAAGCAGGTGAATACTGGCGAGGAGCTTGTTCTCGGTGTCTGGACACCAATTCAATAACGAATTGTGCACCTTGTAACAACTTATAATCAGTCATCGTTGTTTGTTACATGTACAATGTGTAACAAATTCTATAAAAAAAAGAAAAAACTAGTATGTAAGGCAGGTTATGCAAGCTCCCCCCAATGACATGATTCAAATCTCTGGTAAGAATTTATTTTTTTAGCCCTCGTTTATATTTCGGACGGATCCGCCGTTGCTTATAAATTATTGAATTTGTGCACAACGGATAAATGCGATGGAAAAGGCTCCATCCATTAGGGGATGGGTATACAGTCCGGTCCGGTTAAATTGATCCAAATTGATCCGGTTCTGGTCCGGTCTTCTCGCGAATATAAGGACCAAAAATTGGATTGGATACGGTCTGGTCTTGAACTTGTGGGATTTGAGTGGTCTGAGGGGGAATTTGAGTTGCCTAAGGCCTATAAGGGTGAGGAGATTAAATTTTGGGTGTTGGGCTCTCTTATCCGGTTTTCGTCCCGGTCCCAAACGGTTTTTTTACCTCAAATCTAGACTCGAAAATTGGATTGGATGAGATTGTTTGCTATTCGATCCCGGTCCTGTCTCGGTCCGAGTTATACGATCGGGTTTCGGGTAAAATAAAAAAGCCCGTACCAAATAGCCAGCCTTACCATCCATAGGTTTTAAAATAATTTTCAACTGGTATACATGAAAAGAAGCTGAGTTTAAGCCATATACTATTAGTCTATAACACAGCCAATGATATATAACTTACCCGTGGCTAATGATCATAGTTTAATTTAATGCTGAAGTGGAAATTACCAGAAGGAAATACATATTAATACAAGTAACAGTCTGTCAAGCTAGCGTCGGGAAGAGGTGTGCAATGGTTCGGTCCGTACATGACTACCAAATCGGTGTTTGGATCGGATCGTATCGAGTATAATAAGGTCCGGTTCTTGGTTATATGCATTTCATAGTTACTAAAGAAAACATGGACGTAATTGATATTTGGACCGGACCAAACCGGATCAAATAGATCGAATGCAGTGATTGTTCAGTTCTTAATTCTAAAATATATTTCACTAATAGACCGCGGTTCTCACAATTTTGATCTGGTCCAAACCGAGCCGCATTGTTTTCAACTTGAAATTCAAATGACATCTAAACATTTGATTATTATAATTTTTTTTAGAAGTTTGGATACCACAATGTAAATTTTCAAAAAAATTCCATTATCTTCTTGATTATAAGATATTTGATATATGTAAATTTTAGAGATTTTGAAATCTCTAAACTTAAAATTCACCAAAGAAAAAATAACAAAAAAACTTAACTTTCTCAAATCTACAACTTCAATAAATCCATTACTGAGACCCTTTTCCCCAAGCCATCCCACAGAGTGACAAGATAAATAATTTTTGAATGTTGAAAGAGTGTAATGAAAGCAAATTGTCTCAAGAATTCGAAATTCAGCAATATAAAATCATCAAGACAAATTAATATGGTCAACAAACTGACACAAAGTAGTCCAATTTACTAGCATTCACTACAACCCATCTCAATAAAAAAAAAATTATACTCAGGAACCTCAGCTACACGTGCCACATTGTGACAATGAGGCCTACTAAATCTGGAGGCAATCTGCAATCAATTCGACGCCAACAGGGCTTCGCCCCAGCAGCCATGTACCTCTGAGAACACCAACGAGCCTCACTTGAATTTGAACCTGAGATATGCAACTCCTAAACCTTCACTGTCGTGGCAGGTTTACCGTTAGACAATCTTACCTTTGGTCAACCCATCTCAATAATAAATCTACAGGTAGTTTGTTTTTAAGGAAAAGAAAAAAAAAAAGTTCAATTTATTGGAGGAGGCTGAAATGGATGTTTAGGGCGATAAATCCCTAGAAAACTAAATAATACAAACCCTATTCGGAAATGAAGAATGTACCCACCAAAATGGTTACAATGTTATCATACAGAGAAATTTTACAATGCTATATAGTATTGGTGCTATAGGAGTTTGCCTTTATGGTACAACTTAAAATTGTACATTTACGTTACGGTACAACTTCAGATTGTACCTATACTTTTTGTACAAATTCTTTTATGGTACAACTTGAACTTGTACTTTTATGTGATAGTACAACTTCAAGTTGTAAAGTTGTACCATAACATAATGGTACAAATTGTTTTATGGTACAACCTAAACTTATACATTTAATGTTATGGTACAACTTTAAGTTGTACATTAAAGCACCAATACTATATAGCATAGTAGAAGTGCTCTATCATACAAACTAAACCTTTATCATAATATAAATGTACAAATTTATTTATAGTACAATATGAATTCATACTTTTAATTTTATATGATACGTAATTAATTTGAATTTCAAAACCCCAATACTTTAGAGTATAATAAAAGTGCTCAAATAATAGTTTCTCGAGTCAGGATCAAGGTTGTCAACCCGCGGGTTGACCCGCGGGTCGACCCACTTTGACCCTGACCCGGTGAGAAAAACGGGCCATACGCACCCGCCGGGCCGACCGCTACAAGGTATCGGGTTGGAGGTCAAATTGTGTAATTTTTTTCTTTGATTTGCGAAATGCGCCTATTTTCCGATTTTTCTTTTCGCCTAACTCAATCTTTGGAATCCTAAGTTGACCATTTGAATATTTATGTTAGATAAGTGTGTGAATTTTCACTATATGTTGGATCTAAGTACGATATGTTATTTTGGAGTAATATTATATGTTATAAGTCATATGCTAGATAAGATTTGATATAATTTATGAGGATAAGTACAATATAATGACTTTTTCTATATTTCCGGGCAAAACCGGGCTAAAGCGGTTGACCCATTAACTCTTGACCCACTAGCTCGACCGGGTCTGGGTCAACCCGCGGGTTGACAACCTTGGTCAGGATCAAGTTAAATAGGGACTTTTGGCTCTTTAAGAAGTTAATTTATTGGTTCGGAACTGTTCGCTCCACCTTTTCTCTTTCTAAAATCTTAAAAGCTCTCACTTCTCTCTTCTTTTCAAACTTCAGATATGAGCTTGGTTGAGGGTTGCCGTCGGCGCCTCTGGCAAGCCGGCGGTAGCCCATAGTTTTCCTTGCTTTTTAGCTGCTTCCTTGATCTGTTGTTTCTTTGTGCTTCCGTTTCAGAGCTTTTTCTGGCCTCTTCTTAGAAGTTATGTGTTCTCTTCTTCCTCACATATGATCTTTCCAGATCTGATTCTTGAGATGTTTTGTTGGTGACAGAGGGGGTTGAGTGTCCTGAATACGCCTTCTCCTTCATGCTTCTGTCTCTCCTCCATGCTTCACCGCTGCGGCTTGGTGTTTCGGAGATGTCTTGGGAATCCTATTGTGATCCTCCCACTGGGTTCAGCTGCATGGAGCTCGAAGGCGAAGATCATGCATCTTGGGCTTTCGATCGTCTTTCCTTGGTGCTCCCATTGGTTTGTCAGGCTGTGGTCGCCCTCCGAGTTGGATTTGCAGGTTTCTTCTTGCGGTTTCTCGCAGTCCGGCGGGTTCTGGTCGTCGGGTTCCTTCTCCTCTGGTGGCTATCCTCTTTTCCGATGGGTGTTTGTGGGTGTGTTGCGTTCCTCCTGGCGGCTGCTGCCTCTCCTTTGGATTTTTGATTGGTTGTTAGGGTTTTTTCAGACCATGTTTTTAGGGCTGCTGCTTTATTTGTATGGGCTGAGTGTTTGGGCATGTCCTTGTTGTATGTTTCTTTCCATGGGGTTTCGGCCCAAAATCTGTTATCTCTTGGGCATGGTTAAGGAAACCGTACCAGAAGTCATACCGGACCCGTTTATGGTAGGGTATTTTGTGGTATGACCGTGATTCAACCACTGTGTACCTGTAAAATACCGTTTTATAATTAAATAATATTTTTTTGTTAAAAAAATCGTACTGGCATATTTAGGATACCGTATCGGAGTAATACAGGAATAAAATCGGAATATATCGGATAACATTCATAATTCTAATCAAAAGGAATTCGTTCCAAGGAAGAAGAAGAGCACATATGGTATTGGTTAACATTTCGGTTGGGCTAAGTCTTAAGCACAAGTGATTTTCTCCTTTCATTCCTCCTACAAACTATTAAGGTTCTATTGTTAATCTGGGCTCAACCCTTTGAAAGCCCAGGTCGCTTCCGAAACATGGAAGAATAAAAAGAAGACTTTTGGATAAGTCATCCTATCGTCTTCATCGGTCTATCATCTTCATGTATCTCTCTCAATTTCATTTTCCCCTTTCCTTGAGAAATCTAATCCCTAGTTTTCTTGATCCCCATCTCGAACACAGACTCAAGCAGGCATTGCGGCTGAATAGGAGAGAAGAGGAGCAGCGACGGGGATTGGCGCGTTCTTGAGCAGCAAGGGAGGGAGACTCAAGCAGGCGGCGCGACTGAGTAGGAGAGAAGAACAGCGACGGGAGGGATCGGCGCCAATCACCAGAGAAGACGCTCGACGGAGCGGGTTTCCTCCTTGATTTCACCGGTCGCAGTCGCCAGACGGCCATAGGAGGATCGGCTGGGGAATAAAGAAACGACTAGAGGAAAGGGCTCCCAAACCCAGATTAGGGTTTTTGGCATTCTTGGCCTCTGGCCGATTCTTTAAAAAAAAAAATGGCTCCGAAAACGGCGACGTTTTCCCTTGAAGTAAGCCTACCACCGGCTAGACCAAAATCGAACGGTATTTACTTTTGTACCGGTTAAGCCGGAAAAACCGACCGACACAAGATTCTGATGCAACCAGCCTACCGTATCGTTCTTGGTTCGGTTCCCGGTTTTTTCGGTTGAACCGGCCGATACGATCCGGTTTCCTAGTCCATGCTCCTGGGTTCATTTTTAATGAATTTCCAATGACTTAAAAAAAAGTTAATTTAATTCACTGAATGGAAAGAGAACTCAATGGGAAATATCTGATGGTTAATTACCGGAAAAAAAATAACTGATGGTTAAGGACATGTGAGGTAATTTGGAAGAGGAAAATTAAACCACTCTTTGTTTTTGTTTTTCAAATTTATTTTTGATTAATAATATCTCATGCTTATTAATTCGAATTTAAGACGTTATACGATTTGACATGTAAAGATTATATATATAGTCATATTTTGATGCTTTCCATTTTGGGATACCTTGACAAAAAAATATTTACTATTATGCAGACACTAGATATCTCAATCATAGAATCTCTAGTCACTTGTGTGGAAACCTCTAAGCTATATGTTTTGAAGAAAAAGAAAAAAAAAACTTCAAACTACTGAATCACTGGAATAGGAAAGGAAAACGGTATGGTATGGTCCAGAGCGAATCATACATATGATATATGATCCATACTGAGAAACTGGATCATAGACCAAGGAACATAACAAATATTACACGGTCCAAGCCATACCTACCACGTCTGTGGTCTGGTCCGGTACAGTATGGACCATGCATACCAAATTGAGCGTAAAATGAACATTTTATTTAGTGAGTCATACGAAAAATCGAACCAATAATTGAGAATTTTTTTTTTTTACCTTAAAGCATGTACTCCAACATGAATGTATAGTTCTGATATCGTAAATCCAAGTAATTCAGAAGAAACAAAGTTAGTGCCGTCTAACTTGCACCATAATTATTCATAAGCAAAAAAACTTGCACTATAAAGTAATAATTGTTAACATAATGTGATCTGAAAACACAATTATCTCTACTATGTTGTGGACGGTGGGTTATGAATCAAGAAGGAGATGATGAGATTTGCAAAATTAGGGCTGATACTTGGATCTCGTTGAAGAGTTAGGAGAATGGTCGGTTTGGTTTGGTGTATTGTTTTTTTAAAATGATCTTGTGTAAATTTTCAGGTGGAGGAGGCTAAAAGGGATGTTTGGGGCGACAAATCCCTAGAAAAAAAAACCCTGTTCGGAAATGAAGAATATACTCCAAGTAAGATGGGCCAAACGACTCCTATAACAAATATTCAGAAAGCCCAAACCCAAGGACACAAAAGAGCCGTACGTCTCCAGGATCTAATTAAAAGCTGTAGTTAACAGTTCACACACCATCATCTTCTTCATCCCACCTTTATGTTTCGATTATAAATAAATAAGCCCTACACTACCCGCCCTAAAGATGGGACTTAAACCATTATTTGTCACAGATATCCATGGATGAGCTTGGAGTAGTCAACAGGAAAGTGCAGCTTGCTGCGGTGGGTTTGGCCACGACCATCATCATCATGATCATAATCATGGCACCACCTTCGAGCGCAACCACGACTCACATCACCAACAAGCTAAGCAGTGGGGTGCTGACGGCGCATTGCGGGTCGAAAAAGGACGATCTTGGCAACCACACTCTCGCCATTGATGAAGGCTTCGGCTGGAGCTTCGGGGAAACGTTTGGGACGCTCTTCTGGTGCGACCTCCAATCGGAAGGCTATGGCCTTCATTTCGACGCGTACGATGGAGGGCACCCCTACAGGTTCTGAAAAAACTATGGTGGAAGTGTTTGAAGAATGCAAGATTGTTTCTCTGCTTCTTAGTTCATTTCATTACAATGAGTCTTCATTTATACAGCTTACAAACGTGATAATGTACAGTACAAGACATGAGTAATAAATGTGGCTGGTGTGTGTCTCCAATAATGGTGTTGAGTTGATCTTTGGAAGATTATGATCTTTGGAAGATTATGTATTGATTGTAGGGATCTGCAGTTGTGATCTCCAACAGTGTAGCAGCTGTGATCTTCAACAGTGCTCTTACACTCCCCCTCAAACTGACGCATGAAGGTCACAAATGCCCAGTTTGCGAAGAAGATAGCGAAACCGCTCAGCACCGAGCGCTTTAGTGAAGAGGTCGGCAAGTTGGTCTCGAGTGTTGATTTTAATAGGAAGAATTTCCCCAGATTGTACGCGTTCGCGAACAAAATGACAATCCATCTCGACGTGTTTAGTTCGCTCGTGGAAGACAGGATTGGCCGCTATGTGCAGGGCGGCTTGATTGTCACAATGGAGTGGCGTTGATTGAGTTTGAGGGACTCCAAGCTCAACCAGAAGACCACGTAGCCATATTAGCTCACTAACTGCAGTAGCCATTGAACGATACTCGGCCTCTGCGGAAGATCGAGCAACCACACTTTGCTTCTTGGTGCGCCAAGAGATGGGAGCGGCACCAAGGCGAATGAAATAACCAGTGGTGGAGCGGCGAGTTAGAGCACACCCGCCCCAGTCTGCATCACAAAATCCTTCTAACTGCAACGACCCATGACTAGGAAAGAAGAGCCCTTGGCCAGGAGATTGCTTGAGGTAGCGCAGGACCCGAGCTGCGGCCGTGAAATGTTCTTGTTTAGGGTCTGCAACAAATTGACAAAGAAAGTTGACGGAATACTGGAGATCTGGGCGAGTAACCGTCAGATAGAGCAAACGACCAATCAGCCGACGATATTGACCAGGATCAGCTGAACTAGGTGTGTTGGCCATGCCTAGTTGGTGGTGCTGCTCCATGGGGAAAGCACTCGGCCGGCCATTGGCAAGACCACTATCCTCCAAAATATCGATGGCATATTTTCGTTGACTAAGGACAATTCCATTTGGCGAGCGTGCGACTTCGATTCCAAGAAAGAATTTGAGAGGTCCTAAATCCTTGATGCTGAAGTCATTATCGAGTCGTTGCTTCACCAGGCTGATGAATTGTTCATTATTTCCGGTCAAGACAACATCATCAACATAAATGAGAGCAGCGACAAAAGTGGAACCTTTGTGTGCGATAAAAAGGGAGTAGTCAAACTTGGATTGCTTGAATCCCAGTTGGAGGAGAGATGACGTGAATTTGGCATGCCAATTGCGGGATGCTTGTTTCAAACCATATAAGGATCTCTTCAATCGGCAGACTCTCGTGTCATTTGGTTGACCAAACCCTTCAGGCATCTTCATGTACACCTCCTCATCCAAATCACCATGAAGGAAAGCGTTATTGACATCGAGTTGGTGTAGTGGCCAATTCCGTAAAGCAGCAACAGCAATCAAACTACGAACAGTGACCATTTTGGCAACAGGAGCAAATGTATCATGATAATCTACCCCTGGAATTTGGGTGAAACCTTTGGCAACCAACCTTGCCTTGAAGCGTTCGATGTCTCCAGAGGGTTTGAATTTGACCTTGTATACCCATTTGGAATCAATGGCCTTCTTCCCCGGTGGTAAGGTCGTCAATTCCCACGTTTGATTGGCCTCTAATGCTTCAATCTCCTGTTTCATTGCCTTTTGCCATCGAGGATCAATCGCGGCTTCACGATAACTCTTAGGCTCCTTTGTAAGGGTTATGGCAGACAAAAAAGCTTTGTGAGACACTGAAAACCGATCATATGACACATGGTTTGCTAATGGATATACCTGAGGGGAAGCTGATGGTGGGGCAGGTTCCGTGATGGTGAGAGATGTTGGGAGTGATGTGTCAAATCCTTTGAGAGTTGAGGAAGGTCTTCGTTCTCGAATGCTACGTCGAAGCTGAGTAGTGGGAGCCGTTGGTCGAACGCTTGGATCCATGGTCTCCTCTACAGTCAATGGGGTTTCTTGGTCTTCATTGGCGGGCACAGATGGGAACATGCTAGGGTCAATATCTTCATCAAAGGTAACAAGAGGTGGATGTGAGGTTGGAACCGAGCTTGGGACTTGAGATTCGAAGTTTGAGAGTTTATTGGGATCTTTATGTGGAAATGAGCTCTCCAAGAACTTGATGTCTCGAGAAACTATGACTCTCTGAGTCGCCATGTCGAAAACCTTGTAACCCTTTTGCCCTTGTGGGTAGCCAACAAAAATACCAGCTCTCCCCCTTTCCTCGAATTTGTCCTTGACCCTTTTATTGTCGTGAGTGTACACTAGACAACCAAACACGCGCAGGTGAGAGTAATTTGGAGAATGCAAGATTGTTTCTCTGCTTCTTAGTTCATTTCATTACAATGAGTCTTCATTTATACAGCTTACAAACGTGATAATGTACAGTACAAGACATGAGTAATAAATGTGGCTGGTGTGTGTCTCCAATAATGGTGTTGAGTTGATCTTTGGAAGATTATGATCTTTGGAAGATTATGTATTGATTGTAGGGATCTGCAGTTGTGATCTCCAACAGTGTAGCAGCTGTGATCTTCAACAGTGCTCTTACAGGTTCAGTGAGCGGTGGGAAGTCCGTGACGATGCGGTTCATGGGAAGCAGGTGAGTTCCGGCGAGGAACTTGTTCTCGGCGTGTGGCTTCCAATTTAATCAGTCAAAATCTTTGTTTGTTTGTTTGGATGGATGGTTGTTGGTCTTAATTAAGTTTCGAATTTAGCGGTTGCATGTCTCTGTGGGATGTTGTCATCTCTACATTATCACTAGACCACACACCCTCTTATCTATCATCTATAATTTTAAGAGTATATGGTGTGTTTTGAAAGACGCATATTAATAATAAAAGTCAGCAATTTTTTTTGTCTGATGAAAACTTTGTGTTGTTAAAAAATTCTTCTTGGTTTGGTAGTTGTTTTTTTTAAACTGTAGCACAGTGCTAGATATCCTTTTCCTCGGTTTAAATATGGGTTTCGTCTGATCAATAAAGACGCAAAATGACTTATTTACTTTTGCTCGCGTGTGACTTATTGAATTTGTGCACAAGGAAAAAATGTGACAAGATAATCACATAGTTCATGGCATGGTTTTTTTATGTATAATCTCATCAATAAGAAATAACATATGTTTCCGATAGTTCGAATATTACAACTTTAACATTTGTCGTGGACATGCATATACACAATAAATAAAAGCAAATGAGAAACTTGAAGCTCCATTTCAAATTTCCTGCATCCAGAGTGAGAGTAGGAAGGGTAGATTCGTCTTCACAATCATTTACTATTTTCTTATTTAAAAAAATAATAATAAGTAATGATATTTGAACTATTGTCTTTTCAAACAAAGATAAGAAATATAACCAGTTACAATGAACGCGTTTGCATGACCTTTTTTCAATTAAAAACATACAGAAAGCTTAAATCTAAAAAATCATAGGACTTTTCCACCATGGTAATTAGCAACCGAAATGTCATTGATTCAAATATTGAATACCGAATTGCACTATTGAATGTGTAGAAGCGATGTAGAATTCTTAACGATATTTTTAAACACAAAACTTTTGAGTGAATATGCATGGGGCACATGTGTCTTTAAGATAGGGGTAAATATGGAAAGATAGAGTGATGTTGGTTTGTCAAACGCGGATGGAAAAGACACTACTAATGTAAACAAGCCCAAATAGTGCCCCAACCCACTAAACGCTCAACCATCATCGTCTCTCCAAACTTCCCATCAGACTCAATAACCGGCTAACCTCCTATGCCTCTATTGTTTCCCCAGAGCAATTTTTGGAGGGGTAAATATGGAAAGATTGAGTGTAGTTGGTTAGTCCAACGCGGATGTAAAAGACGCTACGAATGTATTCGTGCCCAAATAGTATCTGACCTACTAAACACTCAACCACCCGGGTTACTTTCGCTACACCTAATATAATAGTGAAATGAGAAAGGTGTTTCCCCATTACAAAAATCCTTGCATCCATAACAAAAGTAGGAAGGGTAGATTCGTCTTCACATTCATTTATTATTTTCTTATTTACAGGAAAAATGCATAAGTGATGACATTTGAATTGTGAAATCTTTGAGAAAATACAAGAAACATAACCAGTTACACTAAACAAATTTGTTTAAACTTTTTAAATTAAAAACATACAGGAAGCTTAAATCTAAAAATCATAGGAATTTTCCATCACAGTTAGCTAAGCCGCTAACTCTCCCATAAATATTTTTTTGGTATTTGATACTTCTATTTTCATACTTTGATTACTTTAATTTGAGTTTAATAATTAATTCTTTTTCTATTTATTTTATAAAATGAGAATAATTTCAAAATCGAAAGCCTATGTCATTGGTGCAAATATTGCACATCGAAATGCAGTATTGAATGTGTAGAAATGATATAGAAATCTTGACATAGACTTAAATAATACAACTATTATAAAGCCACAATATTTTTGAACATAGAAATTTTGAGTGAATATGGGGCACATGTGTCTTTAAGAGTGAGGTAAATATGGAAAGGTTGAGTGATGTTGGTTTGTCGAATGCGGATTGAAAATGCGCAACTAATGTAATCGGGTCTAAATGGTGTCCCGACCTACTAATGCTCAACCATCGTCATCTCTCCAAACATTCCCATCGGACTCGACAATCGCTTAACCTCCTCCACCTATATTGTTACACAAAGCAATTTTCGCAAGGGTAAATATGAAAAGTTTGAGTGTTCTTGGAGAGCTAACTGGTGGGGTTTTTAGCTTCTTTGACAGTAATGTGTGATCTCTTTACATTAGTTCATTTGGTTGATCTTCTAGGTTGACTTTTGAGTTGATTAAAGATAAACAGTGTCTCGTGCTCTCGACCTACTAAACGCTCAACCATCGCCGTCTCTCCAAACCTTCCCATCGAACTTGACAACCTCCTCCACCTATATTGTTACGCAAAGCAATTTTTGGAGGGGTAAATATCTAAAGGTTGATTGCTCTTGCTTGGAGATGATTGGTGGGTTATTTAGTTTCATTGACAATAATGTGTGATCTCTTAACATCAGTTCATTTGGTTGATCTTCTAGGTTGACTTTTGAGTTGATTAAAGGGAAATAGCTATACTTTTTGTTGCTTTTGTTATGATACTGCTTTTCAGTATTATCATTTTTCTTATTTGAAGTGTTTTGTGATTAGTTTCCAGTAAACAAAGACTATTCTGATTAGTGTTAACATAGTGAATAGCTTCAATCATACAACTTTTACACAAAATTTATATGTAAGAGCTGAGATCATTGCTGAATTGAACTATTCAAGTTATAATGTTGATCTTCAACATATAAAACATGGTTTCTTTTGAGTGAAATAACCTCATGATTGCATATAGGTTTTTACAATATGATGTTTTGTGATAGACGTCACTTGCTTCCAAATTTAAAAGTGGAGTTCTAATTACTACAATATAAAAAATATGAGTGATATCCATAATTGAAGCAGATACAAGATGGTTTGATATCCTTCTCTTTGCAAGGAATAAATACATGGTGAGCATATGTTGTCATTGGAATGACAAACCGAACTCTTTCTGTTTGTAGTATAGCATGTTGATATATACACATGTCTAGACCTGATCGATTGGACATCTCCACCTGGAATTTATTGACGGGATTTTTGCTCATCAAAGTCGTGTGCCAAGTAAGTTCTCTCCTTAATTCTTATATTTTTCTTAATATGCACATGCACGAAACATGTACGAAATTGTAATTTGTGTGCTTCATTAGTGTTGTTTCCATAAGATTGTATTATCTGAGGTGGTTGTTCTAAAATTGTGAATCGTGATTGTATCTCCTCTAAGAAATTGTCAAGTTAAGCTATAAAATACGCTAACATGAGCTTCCTTTTTAATTTAGTTGGTAAGAGAGCAATGACCCACATCAAATTGATTGGGGGTTGACAATGCCTAAGAAACGGTTTGGGTAAGGCAGAAATGGTTTATACAAAAGGCCATAATATGATCATATATAATGCGTTGGCGGAGATAGTCATCAATCTCATTATATTGTCGAAGTCACCGAGGAGAAGAGAGGAATCACCATTGGTAATCTAAATTTTACAAGGCTATTATAATGATCATTTCTTTCATTTCATGTAAATTTGTATTATGAATGAAGTGATATTACCCCAAGCCATAAATTGCAGCAAGGAATGGTTGTTTGAATTAATGTGCACTGATGCAAAATGCTATGTAGCTTCCACGAAGGAGTAAGAGTGGGCCAATCAGTGTGTTTGCTGTCGAGAAGGATAAGAATCGTGAATGGGAAGGGTTCATGACGATTGACTTATACAGATTGAAGAGATAGAAGGTACCGAGCTGTAAGTCATTTGTGTGTTTAGTGTAGCAGAGTGGATAGGAGTGATTTGGTAGGATTTCACAGTGGTAAGTGTACTGACAGAAGTTATTATCTGTTAGTGCTTCCACACGCATATTGCTTGCCTGTTTCTTTTGTTTGTATATGAGATTTCTAAAGCAGATTGCATGCATTGTATTTCTTTTTTTTTTCCTGTCATTTTAATTAACAAAACTATTTATTAAAAAAACCTACCAACGCATTCCATCGACTTGATTTAGACATTGCTGGTTTTTGTTTTCTCAGCCAAGGATTCATCGCCTTTGGTATCACTGTGGTTTTTAGTCTAAGGGCAATCTAGATTGAATTTGTCTTATAGAATCTCTTGGTGACTTCCATTTTTACCTTCGATAATTGGAGCCAGGTAAGCATTCCTTTGGTTTTTTATGTTCACCCTAGGGGTATCATGGTGCATGGCAATAGTGGCTATATTTAAGGCTAATGGTTTGGATTGTCCATTATAGTGTTTTTGTTTTACTATTTCTTTTATAATGCAATTAGCAATGACTTTCCACCATATTAGTATGGTGTTGTTGATCTACCTCTGCCATCGTCGCATACATGTTAACGAGTAATATCATTTAGAATTAAATAGTTTATTCTCGAGACTACATCCGGTCAAGGCCGGGTAATGCGCTAGTTTTACTGGTAAAGCCCGAGGAAGAAACAAGGCTGAAGGCCAGCATTCTCTTGCACATCTCCAAACTGTAGTTATCTTGTAACAAAAAGTGACGAAAAAGGAAAGTAAGTAGTAAATAGAGGATTTGGCTTTGATTTGGGCACCTTTTTCATAAAGAGCCGGTTGTGGGTAGAAGTAGTGTTTATTTGGTGTCAAGTAACTGGTGGTCGGATGAGCCAATGCAAAGATATAAAGCCAACTTCTATGGGACATGGACGGAGGAGGAGCTCGGTTTGACCCGCCATGAAAGTTGCTTCACAGAAAGTTTCCTAAAGCAAACAGCCAGCTTTGCTCCACCTCCACTCCAAGCACACAAAAAAAAAAAAAAAACAAACAAACAAACAAACAAAAACAAAAATAAGAAGGAAAAAAAAAAGATGAGGAAAAAGACTATATCTATCTCCATTCCAAATCGAACATTTATTGGGTTATGAAAGAAAAGCGTTGCTGGAATGCTTTGAACCTGTTTATTTATCTAATTGGGTAATTCGCTAATTGTATGAATGGTAGTACGAAGTTCTCCAAGCAGAAATCACTAGCAATGATGGTGATATTATATAATAAAGTTTATAACAGTCGGATGTGATTTTGCAGATCTACATATATAATGAGTTTTGTATTGGAACTTTACTCATAAATAAGGAAAAGAAAATAAAGTGGTAAAAAGTTTAGAGGCAAAATGAGCTTTAGATTTTTTTTGTCCGAGGGAGACTATGGTACTTTAATTATTGCTTTGAACCACTAACATAGAAAAGTTTAGTTGTATTTAGAAAATATGTTGTATGTTATTTTTACTGTAAACTAGTCAGGTATTCACCATGGAATGATTGATTTGAAAAATGTAGTATTCGGAGTAAAAATATGAATTGTTAGAAATATGATAGCTGATGTGAAAGAGTATAAACTTTCAGACCTATTTAAAGCTTATTTTTTTAGGGATACCTATTTAAAGCTCCAATTCTTACTTTATACCTAGCGCCTTCTTTAATTTTATATAAAAATTTAATAATGCCGGAAAACCTTCTCGATGTACATAATTGAGATGATAATTAAGACATATAAAACTACATAGTGAAGAGATAAGCATTAGAGATCCAAGTTAACGGAGGATCACATTGAGCACTACGATGATCCAAGGTTAACCGCATTTGGTAAAGGCTGCTAATTAATTTATCTTCTATTATATCTTCATTTAGGGGACTGTTAGACTTGCTCCAAAATCTACACAATAAATAAAAGCAAAATGAGACAAAACCAGAGATTGAAATTAAACGTGTCATTTTCCCCAAAATATAAATGATCTCAATGGGAAAATTCATTTATAGTGGTTTCATCAGTTTCCCCGCACGGATCGAATTGCAAACATGTTTCCCCTTTTCCTCATAGATCGTTTGCATGCGCAATATGCACATACATATAATGCATATATATATAGCCACCTTGCATGCAACTTAAAAAAAGTGGCGTTCGATCCGCACGATCGCGAGGTGTCATTCAAATTAAAGGAGAGAAACGTGGTTTAATGTATTGTAACAGCTGGGAGAGAACTTAAAAAAGTGTTTGGCCATGTTGAAGCAGCCACGTTAAAGTAGAATTAATTAGGTAGGTAAACTTGTTAATGCTGTTATTTGCGTACGGCTATGTACTTATTATCATCATCATCTAATCTCCTGTATTGTATTGATCATACTTTTCAAATTGCCAATTCTAATCGGTAGGGGAGGGACGGGTTAGCATGCTAACCCCTTAAGGGGTTGGTTTTTTGACACCCCTCTTTTAAGGGATCAGATCATGTCATTATCCTTGCTATCAGTAACTGTCGGTAATCCAATCATCTGTCCCCACGTGTCACCTTTTTCTATTTATTTAAATTAAAAACGGAGGGGCACTAAGGTAAAATTGCACCCTCTATTTAATGATGTCTCTGACGCGCTGACGCTGACGCGACGCGGATCCCACTTCCCACCCCACACTGGTTGTCTGGTTCCCCCTTTCTCTCACTCTTTGTTTTATTTTATTATTAAAAGAAAAATATATTATTTCTTCTCTCTCCCATCTACAACAAAAATGAATCTAACCATCCTAACTATCTCTAAACTAATTCCAGCTCAAATTGAATGATGATTTTTTCATTAAATAATACATTGTTAAAGACACTAATTACAAGTATAAATATGATTATCACTTTCTACTATCATGGTAAAACATGGTAAAATATGTTGAAGAAAATTACAATTCTAACTACCATACAATATCACATGGTAAAACGTGGTAAAACATGGTAAAATATGTTGAAGAAATTTAAAAATCTAACTACCATACCATACCATATGGTATAACGTGGTAAAACATGCTACAGAGATTTACAAATCTAATTACCATACCATACCATATGGTATAACATGCTAAAATAAAATTACAAATCAAACTACCACCACATGGCATAACTTGGTAAACCACGCTACAGAAAATTATAAATCTAACTAGCATACAATATCACTATAGTAGAACATGGTAAATCAAAGGACCACAAATTAATTATAATTACCATATAATACCACATGGTATGAGAAGGTAAAACCATGTAAATCTAATTACAACCCTCTACGACCATAGTAAAAACATGATATTCATAAAAATACATTTGTTACCATACATTACCATATGGTATAGTCACATTACCATATGGTATGGACACATTACCATATGGTATAGTGTGGTAATCTCAATATATATATACAATTACGAATTTCTTCGCTTTCTTCTCTCCCTTCATTGTCTTCTTACTCTTCTTTCTCGGAACTGGTGTCGATTACCACCCACTACCACCATGATAAAACTCGTGACTATAAAAATACACTTAGTTAGCACACATTACCATATGGTATAGTGTGGTAATATCAATATATATTTTCAAAGAAGGGGAACTAGAAGGAGGAAGAGGGGAAAAAATTCGTCTTCTGTCTCCTCTCATTTACTCCTCCGCAATGAAGAACACCAAATGCAAAAAGAAAGAACACCAAATACCACTTTACTGGTATTTGTACCACTGCACTGATACTCAGATATGACATTGGTACCAGTGCACTAGTATCGCTACTAGTGCAGTGGTATATCTACCAGTACAGTGGTACAACATATCAGTGCAGTGGTATATTTTTTGGAGGTGGTCGGAGGGAGTCTGCCGATGGGATTTTCACCGGAGAAGTGTGGCGGTCGAAGGAAGTCTGGTGGTCGGAGACTGCTGAAAAAGGAAAAATCAAATATAGTGAGAGAAAATGTATTTAGTGTAGGTTTTAATTTGAAAAAAAAACAAATAAATTAATATGGTGCATTTAATTCCTAATGTGTATTTAATGTGTGTATTAAATTCTATAGTTGTATTTAATATACTAGGGGGGTGTCATTTTTCCAACCCCTAAGGGGGTTAGCATGCTAACCGACCCAGGTAGGGGATAGATGCGTGCCTATCCCCTTATCTGATTTTTGACATCTTTATTAATTATATCTTTGTAAATTAAAAACTCCGTATTAATCACATTCTTTTTTTTTTCAAAATTAAACATACATTAGTTGCATTCTCTCCTCCCTCTTCCCGCCACCGCACTCCACCATGAACCCCAGTCGCCGACCCAGTAACTCCTCATGTCGCGTCTCTGCAACTCCTCTTACAGTCTCTCCTCTCCCCGCCTGCGGGCTGCGGCTGACATTTAATTACTTCCAGTGGCAACGTCGTTATACTGGTAGTTGTATCACTGCAATGAGGATCTTGTGGAGGACCCAAAGGGCTTAATCAGGTGAACTCTCAAGCTTGGTCTCACTCCGCCATCGCTCAAGCGTTGTTGTCAAGAACTAGTTGATCTCAATAACTCGAGTTGTTGGGGGAGGTTCAATCGTGGATCTTATACCACACACTAACATGTCCCCTCAAACGAAAGCCACTCACAAGGGCTTGAAGTTTGCACGGGCCTGAACACATGAATGCCATGTGCTTCTCAAATGGGGGTCATCTGGATTCGAACACAAGACCTCTCGATCACAGAAGGCTCTGATACCATGTCAAGAACCAACTGATCCCAATAATTCGAGTTGTTGGGAGCGGTCCACACACTTAACACTTTGTATTGAACGGATTTTCCTGGGTTATAAAAAAGAAAAAGAGAGTAAGTGACTCACCATTTGACCAAAATCTAATAAAAATATGAACGATTACAAGGTAAATTACACAATACTTCAACAACTTTTCAAAAGAATCCTATGGTTTCTTATTTCCATGGTTTAATTAGTAATTCGTGGAACCTAAACCAAACAGCTGGATTCTTAAGGACACATATCAATTGGAAATGGTAGACATAGCATGATACTAATTCACCTTGATTGTGATCTAACGCGCGTGATCCAATCCACCGGCCACTTTCCAATTCCTTGGAAGATCACAGCCCTCAACACTATTCCCCCTGAATCCACTGTCATTTATTCTACAACTATTCAAATGATATGTTTAATTAGTTATTTTATTCGATTTTTGAAAATGAATTCGATTAACCTTTCTCTCGGTCACATATTTACATATGAGCAAAGTTGTCAGACCCGATTCTTGTAAATTCAATTGATTTTGCATGGAGGATATAACTTTACGAAACTTCTTCCAATAGTTCGAGTTATTGAAATCAACTAATTCTTGGCATTGTATGAGATATCATAACAATCAAAGAATTCTTTTATTCCATTCCCTCCGATATCAATAAAGTAATAGTTGGTTTAAACACAAATCCAATGAATCTGTATAAACTTAAAATCCATGAATTGAGTTCCGTTTGAAAATACAAAATAATTGTTATTGTTTATTATGAAAGATTGATTTTTTGGGGGGGGTTTTGTGATAGCTTTTATTTGTTCGGTTAAGCTAGCGAGGTTGAAGTCCACCTAAGATGAAGATAACTATATTATCCGATAACCGCCATTACATTTCATAAGAATTTAGTTGTATTATGCATATTAATGGGGAGGCTTAATTGCAAGTTTGGTCACTCGAATTGCTATAAAATTTCACGTTTGCCACTCGAATTAATTTATTCCATTTATAGTCACTCGAATTAGTTGAACAGTCCAAGTTCGGTCACTCTCCATTAACCTCCGTTAGACTCCGTTAATGACGACCGTTAAGTGATGACGTGGCTAACAGAAAGACACAATCATCACATTTTAACATTAAAAAAAGACGACCCGACCCGCCAACTCAACTTTACCCGCCCTGTCAACCATTTTTTGCCCAACCCGCGAACCAAGATATTCAACGGCCATCCACCCGTCGCCGTCGCCTCCTCATCTTTCATTCATCAGCCATCCACCTGCCGCCCTCGCCCTATTCTTGATAGGTCTCTCTCGCTCTTTTCTTCTTCTCTGCCTTAAATTCGCGAGCAAGAGTATCGATCGATCAGGAAGAAGAATTAGAGGCATTGAATCAATCATTCAATCGACGCAACTACTCTCTCCCTCGTCTTCTACTTACTCGCTCAGATCCGGCGAAAAGTGATATCAGAAATGGCGTCAACGTTCAGCGGCGACGAGACTGCTCCTTTCTTCGGCTTCCTCGGAGCCGCATCTGCCCTCGTCTTCTCCTGTAATTTTCGAAACCTTTCTATTTCCGATTTCCGATTCAGTTACTGTAGATCTATGAGGATTAATCTTGGATCTGCTGTTGCGCTCGTGTAAGTTATTGTTGCAGGCATGGGAGCTGCATATGGCACGGCGGAGAGCGGGGTTGGAGTGGCGTCGATGAGGGTGATGAGGCCCGAGCTGGTGATGAAATCCATTGTTCCAGTGGTTTATGGCTGGTGTCGAGTAGGAAGCAGAAATGGGTCGAATCCACCGACCCAATGAACCCTTGCATATCGTCGAACGCGCGAATCGCTTGGCGGGTGAATCTGGCGGCGATCAGCCGCCGAATGAGGATGGAGAAAGTGGTGAAATTGGGCTGGGAATCTGAATCCTCGTCGTTTTGCTGCCCCATCTGGATGATTAGCTGACAACAAACGTCGAATTGGTGAACCTGTGCGTGGATATCGATCATGAGGTTGTAAGCGGCGGAGGTGGGCGGAGAAGAAGGGAGGGAGAGAGAGTAGTGGAAGAGGGATAGGGCGATCTTGGAGCTGTGGCGGAGACAGATTAGGGTCTGGTGGAGGAGGGAAGGCGTGAGCGAGATTCCGTTGAGCTGGAGGCAGGATTCCATGGCGTGGAAAGGGTTGTGGTGGTGGAGGAGCATCTGCGAGAGTAGTTCGGCGTCGGCGGATGGTTCGAGTGTGGGAAGCTCGGAGGTGACTGCGGATGCGGAGAAGTTGCGACGGCGGAGGAGGAAGGTAGTGGTGGCGAGGGCCCGATCTCTGTTTATTTTTCAGGGGGGTTGTGTCTCGAGTTAGGGTTTGGGTCATTTAATTGGGTTGGTTCGCGGGTTGGGCAAGAAGGGCTAACATGGCGGGTAAATATGACGTGGCGGGTCGGGTCGTCATTTTTTAGTGTTAAATTATGCTGACTGTGATTTTCTGTTAGCCACGTCATCACTTAACGGTCGTCATTAACGGAGTCTAACGGAAGTTAACGGAGAGTGACCGAACTTGGACTATTCAACTAATTCGAGTGACTATAAATGGAATAAATTAATTCGAGTGGCAAACATGAAATTTTATAGCAATTCGAGTGACCAAACTTGGAATTAAGCCTTAATGGGGACATCAAAATCCAACTTTTCCAAATCTCCTTGTGAGCGAAGGATTCCAATTCCAACTTTCAAGAGGATTGTGGTTCTAACTAACACACATCGAGAAGAATCGGAATCACCACATTGAAAAACCAGCCGAAACCACAAGATTATCTTCATTACACATGCATGAAGAAATATGCTAAGTTTAATGGCATATACCACAATACAATCTAGTTCTGTGTAACATCCTCGTGTCTGATGATCATAGTTTAATGTAGTACACCATTATCGTAAAGTTATTCGGAGCACATAGTTAGTACCTTTGGGAGTATATGCTATTTTGTGAGCTATTTATACACACATGTCCTGAATTAGTGAAACAAATAAATTCTAGCTCACGACCATACATGCATGCATATAGATTAGGTTGGATACGATTCATCTTAACATATCTAGTTGGAATAGATTCTATCTATGAAAAATGTTTTGATTAAGCACTCTGAAATTTTTACCATCTTAGGAAGTAATAGAGAAATTAAACTCCCGATCTTTTTTTATGTAAGTATGTGACGATTTAATCAATAGATGTGTGCTTTCGCGAAAGTTAATAAGATATTTAATTTTTAGTTGGCTCGTGTTACCAAGATTTAGATCCAAAATGTGGTGAATGTTATTATTGCACACGAATTTCTTTTTTTTATATATAGTTTTTTTCTTCAAATGTTCTAGGTTTATTTATTCCTTTTCAAGGAGGAGATAGTCAGATGGGCATAAGGGATCGGGATGACGATGATGGTGAGAGAATCGAACAGTAAGTATTGACATAGATGAATAATTTGGTTTGGTAACAAAAATTCGATTTGATTTTAGGCGGAGTCAAAGTACGTATTTTGACTTTGTTGGAAGATACAGGTAAATTTTCATAAACAAATAATAAGTTTTCATGTTTCTTACCCAATGTTTTTGCAAACTTTTCACAATATGAAAAATCATCGTCGCGGTGAAAATTAATGAAATTGTATTGCGTTATGAATCAAATTTTACATTTAACACATTTCGCCAAGAATCTGGTTCGGCCACTGTTAAATATATGATTTATATATACAAATGAATTATGGTGGTTTACCAGATATTAAACATATGTTTAGCATAAAAAGCTGTAGATATATCTATGAGCTCTGTAGGTAAACGAGGAGAAGAAGAATGATATTTCCACCACTCAAAAAAAAGGAAAACATGATGCTGACTAATGACCTGGAGACACAAGAAGATGGGAAAGGGTTGCCAGAAAGGGAAGGAGAGATTGTAGCAAAGGCACCAAAATACAATGCTATCTGAATCAGACCTTCATTTCCATGTCTTTCAATTGGTCCCAATTCCCACTTCAAAAACCCACCCTCTCAACTTTCTACCCAAAAACGCCTCTTTTCTGCAAAACTACACGCCTTGTTGCTTGCTCTGTTTTGTCTCTCTTCTTTATTTCTTGGCCCCCAAATTGAACATAAAATTCTTAGTTGGGGGTTGGAGACTAATTCAAAACAAAATACATGAGTGCTTAAGAAATTCTCACTTTCGAGTTTCCTCTTGTAGGAAGTTGAGAAAGAGAAATTAAAGGACAAGAGTTGCAAAACTGTTGTTGATATATAAAAGCCTTTAGTTCTAGGATTTACTATTCATTAAGAGGTTTTATTGTAATTTTCATAACTTTTAGGAGTATCAGGGGTCGTTTGGAAGTTGCGATTGTTAAATAGATGTATTGTTGAGAATGCATGTATAATATTATACATGTATTGTCGAATTTGATGCATTGTAGAATACAACGTTTGGTATGTGTATGTGTGATTGTGTATGTCGCATTAGCTAAAAGCTGAGGCAAAACAATCTCAACTCAACTATCTCAACAATCACAACTAAAAGTTGAGATATAACAATCCCTTAAAATGAGTGATAGTTTCTGTCACATCACAGAAACAATCCATGTTAATATATAAAAGCCTTTAGTTCTAGGATTTACTATTCATTAAGAGGTTTTATTGTAATTTTCATAACTTTTAGGAGTATTAGTTCAAGAGGTCATATGTTTTGCATTTCTTTTTATTTCTTTCTTTCCTTATCTTCATTTAGCAGTTGACACATATTTTGTCTCATTTCTCTTTATTCATTTCTTTTAATCACATATAGAAATATTTTATTAATTTTTTTAGAAATATTTTTTTCTTTTTTTTTTTGTTAGATCAAGGCGCTAAGGGCGCCCAAGCCTTAAACAACAATGAAGCGGGGAAGCTGAACCCCTATAGTATCGTACAGTAACTAGTAATTCAGCATACTACTGGGCGAGCCAAACACATGAACACCCCTGGAATATGAGTATCCAATCGAAGCAAGATAGTCTGCCACCACATTTGCTTCCCTGTAAACGTGCTCCACCCTCACCTGCCGGTCCTTACGCATGATGTTGATGTAACTTGAATCAAACTATCAACCGCGGTGTATGAGCTCAATGTTATTTGTGTTCGGGTTATGTGCCTAGTCTGTAACCGTTTTCTTTGCCAGATTGGATTAGGTTTAGACCCACATGGAGAAATACTATAAATACTTCTCATACTCCTCTGTAATCTGTAATCTCCTCGATATAGTGAAACTGGCTCTCTCTCGCCCGTGGACTAGCTAACACACATCGTGTTAGTGAACCACATAAATCGTCTGTCTGTGTTTTTCGATTCTCGCTTTCGTATTCTTGCTTTATCGATTCCAGCAATTTCCCGATCCGTAGCAGCGCGTTTATAACACATGAGACCCTTCAACTCCATCACCAGCGAGTAGTGGGGGTGACTTGTATTCGCCAACTCCAGCAGCTGAAGAGCAGCCTTCGAGTCCGTCTGCAAAACCGCATGTCGAATTCCCGCATGACAAGCGCACTTCAACCCCTGGATCATCCCCAACAATTTCGCCCTCGTAATCGATCCCTCGCCAATGTTCATGGTGAACGCTTGAATAAAACCTCCATCTTCCCCTCGTACCACTCCATCAGCTGCCTGAGCTCTGCTGTGCCAAGAGCACCGAACCGGCGGTGTTAATGCAAACCCACCCTCTTGGCGGCGGCTTCCAGGAGACTAGTTGCTTCTTTCTATTCCCCTGCGACCATAATACATTGGTGGCCTTCTCAAATGCCTCCACAATCTGTTTCTGCGCACGCCTAGCGTTAACCGACAGCTGGGGATGCGCCACCAGCTTCTCCTCAAACACATAGGAATTCCTATTGCGCCACAGCAACCAGCATGTGACTGCAAACAGAGTTGCATCAATCACGTTACTTCTCCCTGCTAAGTAGTGTCTCACCCAACTATTAGTCTCAGGCTGGAAGAACATTCCATCGGGCTCGTTCTCGACTAAGTTCGACCATACGACCCTTGCGTATGGACATTCTCGAATCACATGCAACGTAGTCTCCGCCTCTCCTACACAAATCGGAATACTCATTCATGTAGATAAATGTCTTCTATTCCTATCTACATTCGTCAGTAGCCGATTATGCGCAACCATCCAAAAGAAGGTGCGGATCCGCTGTGTGACGGGAGCACGCCAAACCGTTCTCCATAACTGGTGATCACTAGTCGGATGTGCCTCGTTATCCAGCATCTCATAAGCACTCTTCACTGAGAACTTCCCCGACGGAGTGAACCTCCATGTTGGAATGTCCTGCTCCATTTCATGCGGCACCGGGTGGAGTACGATATGTAGTACAATGCTTTGGGGTAGATAAACCAGCATATAATTTGTATTCCACACTCCATTCAAGACTAGGTAAGCCATCGACAGGGACCTTACCTCCAAAGGCTACCCCTCCACGAGATTAGCAAGGGCAGGTCCATCATCGAGCCACCGATCCTCCCATAACTTCATTTGGTGGCCACACCTAATATTCCAAACCGTTGCATCCGGAAGGAGATGAATGACCCTCAAAACCCCCCGCCAAAGATTTGATAAATGACCCGTAGTCTGCGGCGTCAATCCTCCCTCTCCTTGCCTCAAGTACTTCGCTCAAACAACTCTTGCCCATAGTTCATTTGGTTCTGACAAGAGGCGCCATGCAATCTTGAACATATAAGCCTCGTTCATCTTCGACGCCTCTCTCATCCCTAGCCCCCCTTCATCCCATGGCCTACAAAGCGTTTGTCAGTCTAGCAAATGTAACTTTCTTCCTACCTCCGATCTTCCCCAAATGAACGCCCTTAGCTTTTTGTCAATATACTCCAGCACACTCACAGGGAGGAGCGACGTTTGCATCGTATAAGCCGGTAGAGCGGACAGTACCGACTATGCAAGGGTGATGCGTGCTGCTAATGATAGAGTAGAGACCTTCCAACCAGCCAGCCGCGCATCGATTTTGTCAATCAGCTCAGTAAAAGTTTCTCTTGAGACATGATCATGGATGCCTGGTACTCCTAAGTAGCGTCCAAGATTTTTAGTCTCCAGAATATCCATTCCACTACTTATCTCGGTGGCTAGAGAAGCAGAGACATTCTTTGAGAAGAAGACTCGAGACTTAGGCTTGCTAACTTGCTGTCTGGACAAGCCACCGAACTCTTCCAAAGTTTTATTAATCACCATCACCTGTGCCACAGAAGCTTTGCCAAACAAGATAAGATCATTGGCGAAAAAGATGTGAGAAAGATCCGGACCTGAGCTTGACAGACGGATCGGCTTCCAGCTCCCATGGTTGACTGCATCCTGAATGAGGTGACCAAGTCGCTCCATAAACAGAGTGAAGAGGTATGGGAAGAGAGGGCACCCCTATCGCAGCCCCCGGGAAGGGGCAAAGGTGTCCGTCAAGCCTCCGTTCCACTGTATCTGCATCTGGCTCGTGGTAATACACTCCATAGCAATGTTCACAAAACTTATTGGTACTCCAGCAACTGTCAGAGTGTCACGAACAAAGTCCCAACGGATTCGATCATAGGCTTTTGCCAGATCGATTTTTAGGACCATCCACCCCTTTCTTCCTGTCTTCGCCCGCATCGAGTGCACTACCTCCTACAAAATACATATATTGTCAGTTATGTGCCTCCCCGGTACGAAGCTCGTTTGTGTTTCATGGACCAATCTCGGCATCAACCCTTTTAGTCTCTCTGCAAGGCATTTCGTGATGATCTTGTAGCCCACATTGCAGAGACTGATCGGCTTGAATTGCTCGATCAAAATTGGCTTTTTTTACTTTCGATATCAGCACCAAGACTGTTTCATTGAGCTCCTTGATATGAGATTATTCGTCCCAACATTTCCTGGTGAAAGCACCCACATCAGGCCCCACCATTGACCAAAATCTTTGAAAGAACAACGGGTTAAGGCCATCTTTGCCAGGTGACTTCAGCGATCCCATGGATCGAACAGCTGCCTGTAGTTCCTCGTCCGAAAAATTCATCTGCACCCTTTCCCAATCTTCCATGGGCACGGTCGGGAATCCCTGCAAAATGGGTAAGATTGTTGTTCTGTCATCAGTGTACAGGGCTACGTAAAAGTTCCTCGCCATCCTCTGCAGCTCTCCTTGATCCTCGACCCAATCACCCTCGGCATTCTTTACGGTAATGATTCTATTCTTTCGTCGTCGTTGGAGCGTCCGAGCATGAAAGTATTTCGTGTTAAGATCGCCTGACGGGATCCACTCCATTCTGGATTTCCGACACTAGAGAATTTCTTCTTGTAATAGAACCTCTTCCAACTCTGAACGAAGACCATTAAGCCCTGCGTGGTCTACATCCCCTCCACGTTGCTTTTCCATTCTTCCAATCCTGCGCATTAGAGTATCCTTTCTCCTGGTTATGTTGCCAAAAGTAGTGCGGTTCCACTGCTTTGCATCTGTAGTGAATGTCGCCACACTGCTTAGCAGATCAGAACCTTTCCTCCAGACTACTTTTGTTAATTCGCCAAACTCCTCATGGGAAAGCCACGTTGCTAGGAATTTGAAAGGTTTGGGGCCTCTAGCATGCATGTCGGGTTTAGCTTGTTCAATAATGGTCGATGATCTGATTTAACCCTCGGTAGGTGGCAGACCGTCGTCTCTGGGCAGATTTTTTCATTTCTTTAACTTAAGAGGCTGTATGTTTTGCATTTCTTTCATTCTTTACCTTCATTTGCAAGGTGGCAACATATTTTGTCTCATTTTCTTTTTTCATTTCTTTGAAACACATATAGAAATCTTTTAATAATTTTCTTAGAAATCCTTTGGTTTTTGCTATTGTTCGTATCTGACGCATATTGTGGAGTTATGTTTTTAATTTTTCAATTTTTATAAGTTCTCCGACTATGCAATTAGAAGCGACCGATCACACGTATAAGATTGCGTGTATACGACGATGTGAAATTTTTCCCCAAACCATTTTCTCATTTCTCTTTTTTTTGTTTTTTTTTGCTATAATCCTTGCCTCGGTCTTCCCCAAACCATTTTCTGATGTGAAATTTTTCTTCCACTCTCTATGGCGATTCTTTTTCATCTTCGCTCATGTTTCTCCCTGTTGAAGCCTTGTGCTAAGATCTCATTCTTTCTACCATGAAACATGATTGATAATGTTATCAATTTACTACCACACTTCCATAGGTAGTGTTGGTCGTAGAGGATTTGCTCCGAAAGATCATGTTAATATTAAATGGCTTAACACCTTTTTTCCATTTATGCACTAATAAAACTGTTTCAATGAATGTGAATTGTTCTTATTGCTTAGATGCCATGCCGTTCAAAAATTAATTTGTCGGTTTGAAACAATATTTCTCTACGAGAAACAAACCCTAGAATTTCTCTCTAGTTAGAATTACGGAAATCAAAATACAATAAAGAAAAGTAACCCAGAAACCACGACAGCGAAAGAAACCACGTTCACAACAAATCAAAACTAAACGATCAAGAATTGCAAATTGGGCTCATTATCGATTCCCGTTACTACGAATTCGATCGAAGAACAACAGTAATCCAGATTTCGCAAACAAGAGTAGAATTTCATACAAGAAAAGCTTGAAATCAGTAACAAAGACTACTAAGATTACACGAAAAGAGAAAGAATGAGAGCACCGACCTCGGTCTGAAATCACATATAGAAATCTTTTAGTAATTTTCTTAGAAATCTCTTTTTTCATTTCTTTACCTTAAGAGGCCATATATTTTGCATAATTTTGTATTCCTTTTTATTTCTTTCATTCTTTAACTTCATTTATAGGGTGACACACATTTTGTCTCGTTTCTTTTAATCACAAATAGAGATCTTTTGATAATTTTCTTAGAAATCCTTTTGTTTTTGCTATTGTTCGTATCCGACGCATTTTCCATTTTAATCCTTATCGATTAACAATCTTTATGACTTTACCATTTTTTGAACGTGTTTTTGTTGTTGTGTTGAAATTGATCTTTTTGTTCGTATTTGGTTTTCGGAACCAACAAATCAAATGCTAAAGTATTCCTTTTTTTCTTCTTTCTAGTTTTTCCTATTCAAATGCAGAAAGTTCGTAAATTCTCTAATTAACAATTGCTGAGTTCCAAATATGTAAATTGGCATATGCTAATTTGTAACTTTATTGGTCAGCGAGTGCATATTAGTACGAATTATCTCCAAATATGTAAATGACCGAGATTTTGCTTTTAGTTTGAAGTGCTTGTTTATGGTATGCTAGTGGAATTCAACCCGTCAATTGCCTGTTAGGTTGGAAAGATATCCCTCGTTACAATAGTTGAGATTGGACTTTCACCTTCAATGAAGTGAGTTGAATTGCCTAACCTGCTTACTTTTCATTCTAATATGAGATTGTGTTTACTTGTGCACTTCTGTAGGCGAAGAAGATGACTTCCATAGGAGCTAGGAAATAGGAAATGCTCCATGGACTACTTTGGATGGAAGTTCATAAATCCTTGGCTTGCTTCTGCTCAATTTCGGAATCAATTGATGATGCGGCACTTGCCTTCCATGTTTAATATGTTTACAAGAGGTACTTTTTTCCTTCCCTTCTCTCACCCTCCATCTGCCCTCTTTTTTTTCTTCTTATTATTGATCTTGGTAGAGCTTGTTTAATAAGCAGTTGTTGATAACTCAATATGACTTATACTTCTCTTTTTGTTGAAATTACAGGGAGATGCATCATTTATTCAAATGATGTGAAGAATGCTTGAAGATACTAAGTATAGGCTTGCTAACCATTGAGATCGTTTAAATATTCAGGATGATAATTGTATTATGGATATGTGTAGAAGTAGAACACAATATTATGTTTTTGCCACTTTTCGTGAGAAGATATCATTTTTGGATTAAGATTTAGATCAATTGAATATAATTTATGTTTTCTATTGTATGCTTTGATTTGTTAAGTTTAATTTATAGTTAGCGTTTAACTACCATATAAATTAAAGTTTGGTTTATAACTGTTCACAACTCTCATTCAGCTACCATAGGCTAAATAGTCTCTTAAACATACCTTTTGGAAACCATATAATAAGAGTTGCCTAACTAACCAACCTCCACAGATTGTTTGGCGACCATAAAAAAAAGGTCGCCCAAACCTCTCATTTGACAACCATAAATGAGATTGTCGCTTGAAACGTCACCCTGTAGTTGTTCAAACTCTAGATTTACGCCAACCATTTTATATCGTCGCTGAAAACATGTAAAAGCCAACCATAAATAGATCGTCGCCAAACTGGTGTTCTGCCAACTATACCCTATGGTTGCTTAAAGTATACATTCAGCGACCACATATTAAAAGGGTCGCCTTGGACCTATGCCAACGCAGTATTGCCGACCATCTTGGCGACCGTCTTTTATGGTCGCAGAACTGTTTCGGCAACCATTTTTCCGTTTCAGCGACCATTATTGATGATTGTGGAAAGCATAATTTCTTGTAGTGCTTTAATTACCGGAAAAAAAATATCTTGTGCTTTTTCTTGCCGTTCTTGGAATTATGTCGTATGAGTTATATTTTGTTGATTGTTTTATACGATACGATTACAGTGCTATCCTCCACCTGCCGCTAAGCGCAAGCGAGCAAGCATATCTAGTGAGATGTTAAGATTAAACCTCTTTTCTTCTTTTCAAGTTAATTAATTAGGTGGGGTCGTGGCCCGTGGGTTCCGATGTACTATTAGACATCGATGATGCGCTTATGAGTTGTTGCCAAGTAGATAAGAAATCGTTTAGTTACATCAAGGGAATAATATTGCCTGACTGATTAGTTTATAACTAACTCTTTATCCTAGTACGACTAGTTATTTTCGTGAGACAACGATGTAATTCATCCAACTAGCTAGTCTTGATATGATTTTCACCATCTAAATAAAACATGTATGATGTTTGTCGATTTTCTGTGCAAGTAACATTTGTATAATAAGAGTGTCACTTTTATCAACCTAACAAGCAAGAATAATAATTCCAGGTATATAGAAGTTATCTCATGCGTATATCCAATATATCCATTAACACAGTCCACAAACACAGACAAAAACCGCGTCCATTAATAATAAATGGGGTATGGTGGCTAAAGCATCATATTCTTAATCCCACCAAAAAGAATTAATAATCTCAAATAAAGTGGAAGATTCTGATCATCATGTGTATTTCCAGAATACATGGTATGTGTATTATACTCATGAAGTGATGCAGTATTACCCGCAGGATGGTGTTGTAAGGATTATGAGATCAACTGACACCAGATAAAAATATTGATTTCTTATTTAGGATGTGTTTGGAGGAAAAGATTTGGGTTTTGAATTTAAAATTTTAAATACATATGGATGGTTTTTGGGTTTGTATCAAGATTATGGGAAGAATTTCAAATATATATCAACAATGAAATTTTTCATAAAAATAAAAACTTATTTGTAAAATTTTAAAAGTTTAGGTACAATAATTGTAAGGAAAATCAAATTTTATACTCAAATAAATGTAGATTTCCAAAAACTTTTTGAAAAAGGACCTATAAAATCTCAAATACCAACAAGTTATAAATAAGTATAAAAATAGAATTTGAATTTTTAAATTTATAATTTTAAATGTATGCATTTAAAATACATCTATCCAACTCACACCATTATAGGATTTATAATTACTATTTACAGTTTTTGAAATAAAGTAGGGATTCCTTTACAAGTTGTTAAATAAAACAGGGAGCCATGAGAACTCGACTAAGATTTTGACTCACCACTTGGTCATGATAACTTGATGAATGACATAACCAAGATTTCATTTTAACGAGAATCCGATTTTAGAGAAGAAAAAAAAAAACAAGATCACAAGATGGCTTTTTATGATTTATTTTCATTTGCAACTGGAAGTCTTATCATACGATGGAAGTTATGATCATATCAAAGTTGGGTTTAGTCTGTAGGTAGTCGGTAGATACATAAGGGGATATTGCAAGGTTTAGGGTTTGAAATCCATTCTCAACATCTATTATTCGAAAGCGGATCATATGCATAACTCTGCATAACCCCTATTTATCAAGAGTGAAATGATTTGTATAGGGCTGGACAACGAGAAATAAGTATTTGGGTATACTCATACCCGTCCCGTTTTTTAGGGTTACGGATACCCAAATATCCGTTTTATTTTTAATGGAATGGGATTTGGGATCAAAATTCTTACTATAGTATAGACATTACCTCTGCCTCCGAAGACCCCTTGAGCTTATTCACCTGGACATTATCCAAGAACATTTGCTTCCATTATGTTAGTCTAAACATTGAACAACAAAACTCATATGTTTCCTTCGTAACCTTCGGCAACTTCCATTTATTATAAGGCAAACTAAAATCCAAATCCATATAAGGCTTATAAATTTCCTATAGAGTGGTTGGTGTGTGGAAAATAGTGTCTAGTCGAAAAGAAGGATTGAGACACGATGAGAAAATGGGGAGCACAGTGAACTGCACTAAAAAAAACATTTACAGATCGAACTTGCTGCCAGGTGTTGGTTATAATTTAATGGACGGTTATATACGGATAATTTAGGTACCCGTTCCTGTACGGGTAACGGGTACCCGTTAACTTTTATGGGATGGACTTTGTTACTAAAACAGAATCAGATACCCATTTTAAATGGGACGGGCATCTCATCCCGTCTTGTTACCCACCTCTATGATTTTTACCACTATGGAAAGGATCGTATCACCTCTGCTAAACACAAATTATGCAGGGTTATGCACAAATAGGTTAGGCAACCGACCTAGTCGTAGTAGTTACCGTGCTGAATACTTTCATCAACAATGCGAAGTTTACCATTTTAAACACTACAAGTTTACCATTTCTAGACCTCTTTGTAAAAAATGAAAGTTTAGGTACTAAATTAAAATAAAAATTAATTAGAGTACCACAATGTAATTTTTCAATAATTGTATTTTGTAACCAGAAATTTTAAAATTAAAATAAAGAGTCATAAAATATAAAATATCAACAAATTACAAAATGAACATTCAAATAAAAAAATTCTAATTACATATATTTAAAATACAACTATCCAAATGCAACATATGGACATACATAATTTTTCTGGTATGAAACTGGGTGCCTCGTGTTATGAAAAAGAAAATTATGAATTTGACAATAATAATGTATCATGTTGGCTGATCTTTTGGTTGAAGATGACAATGAAGTTGCCCATGTTTTCTCGGGCACGTTACAGAAACTCCCATTAGATCACTATTTTCATTTTCGTTGATCTGTACAAGGAATGAGTTGATCATGTGCTAGTTTTTTTTTTTTTTTCCTCTCCCTTTTCTCCTTTTATGATTTATGATCTTTTGGTGAGTTTAAGTAACCATAGACTCGTAGGTGGAGAAGATAAATAGATTGAGTTTAAGATGATTTGATTGGATTCAAGGATTTTTTGAATTTGGATCATATCTATAAGTGGATGATGGACTGAATCAAATGAATTGGTGAATTGAATTTATGGGTCTAAGTTACATTTAAACATTACACCATTATGTAAATTTTGAAAATTTTAGTATTTAAAACTCATACTCATAGTATGATTGATCGATGAGATTGTGTCAAGAGATAATTACTTGATTGGTTAGTGAGATTGATCAAATGAAAAAAAAAAATTGAAGCATGTGCATGAATACAGACGAATTTGCATGATGAATTGATGAAATTATCATGAATTTCTCATTTATTTTTATAACATTTGTGTGTGACGAATCGATGAAATTCGTATTATTTGTTTCAAATAAATTTATTTAAATTACATGTTATTATCATATATTTATGTCCATACATTACCAGTAAGTCTAGCTCTTGGATTTGATTTGAGTACCTTAAACTTCAATTTAGAAAAAAGAAAATACATTTTCAATCTACAACTGTTTAGACACATTTCATTTTCTGCTACAAATGTACTCATATCAACTACTACTCTATAAGCTAGTTTCAATTCAAAATGGTTATCTCTTCCACAAATAATTCTGATCTCGTCATCCCCACTAATTCTTCTTTGTCTTGAGTTCCCCCCAAAGGTGAAATCTCTCTGAGCACGACCGTATGCAAAAGTGACAATTTTACCAACCACATTTTCCTAAACTAGAACAAGCAATTTAATGTCTAAAGCACAAAAACAAGTGAAAAATAGCTTCAAATTGGTCCATTTGAATTTGATCATGCGCTTGGCAATTGCCATCATATGCATCCTGCCCTCCAATTGGACAAAACCCAATTCCCAAATCTCTCCTATAATCCTAAATATTCACAATCTCCATTACCATCATCTTGCCATGACCACCACCACCACCACCTGTTGGCGGCGGCGGCGGCGGTTTGGACATGTTCTTTCCGGCGAATCATTTTCGCCAGTGGCATATATATTTATAGTGGCAGCTGACTGAGAGCATATAAAAGAAGCTATTCATCTCTAGCTCTAGTAGACTGACTAGTATAACTAGTAGTGCAGAGGAGGGGAAGGAGGATATTTGAGAATGTGCTGTGTTAGGGAAAAGAACACATCAATCACAGAATAATTCTCTCTACCCTTTCTCCATTCTGCTCATTATATATAACAATGTTCATTAGCTCCACCATTGAAACACCACTCACCCTTCCTTCTCCCAGCTTCACCTCTTTGGAGTAAACCAAAACCCACAAACCAGAACTTTCTTAAAAGTGGGAAAGAAATGGTGAAATTTTCCAAGCAGTTTGAGGGTCAGCTTGTTCCTGAGTGGAAAGAAGCATTTGTTGATTACTGGCAACTCAAGAAAGACCTTAAGAAGTTCCATCACCATGATCACCACACCACCACCATTTCCCCAAACAACTGCAATGGCATTAGCACCACCAACATCAGCAGCAGCAACTTGACCACTAAGTTGGTTGCTTCTCTTAAGAAACTCACTCATAATTTGGGCCATGGACATAGAGACCACCACCATCATGGAGCCATTCAAGTACATGCATACCCTTTTTTTTTTTTTTTTATCTTTCCTTCTCTTCCTCCTTCTGTTCCTTTCTTCCAATCCATCTTTTGAGCCTCTAATTTACCATTTTGATTGTTATGTTCCAAAAACAGGTGCATAAGAAGCTGGCCTCCTCACTAAGTAAAGGCGACACGTATGAGACCGAATTGCTGGATCAGTTTGAAGACAGTGTTGCAGTGAAGGACTTCTTTGCCTGCCTTGATTTGCAGCTTAACAAAGTGAACCAATTCTTCAAGTCCAAGGAGAAGGAGTTTGTGGAGAGAGGGGAATGCCTCATGAAACAAATGGACATCCTCATTCATCTCAAGACTGCACTCAAAAACCACCACAACAACAAGAATTCTTCTCTGCCTCAGGATTCCAAGGATGATCCATCAATTTCATGCACCATTACCTGTGGTACTTTACTTACTTACCACTTGTCTGTTAACACAGCACTAAAAATGCTCAACGTACCAAAATCGTCACTGAACTTCAACATATAACGAACTGGTCACTTGCATTTGTCAGTTAGTTACCAAATATGATCATTCCCCTTAACTCTGCCTCAGATTTTCTCAGTTAAGTAAGCCTAATCAGCATTGTCAATGAGTTTACTGACGATTTTGTTACACCAAGCATAGTTTAGCAATGAATACTTTAAGCTTTGTGTGTCTCTAATTACGCTTCAAATGTTTTTAACTTTTGAACAGAAGGAGAAGAGGAACAAGAGGAAGAAGAGAAAGAGCCAGAGGAGAATGAGTCAGAGAAGGCTAGTGGTGATGAAGCAGTGGACTCCCCAAGAATGGAGAGAGAGGATATGAAGATGAGAACAATATCGGGTCGGGTTTTCAGCTGCAAAGGCAAGAACTTGAGGCTCAACATTCCATTGACAACACCTCTGCGAACTTTCTCTGCAATAAGCTATCTGGTTTGGGGAGACAATTCGGTGTCTTCGAAGAAATGCAACCCTGAAGGAAGCAGGCTGCCTGTTCACATCAACAAGACAAAGTTGCATCATGCTGAGAAGATGATTAGGGGAGCTTTCATTGAGCTCTATAAAGGCCTTGGCTATCTCAAGACTTACAGGTAAATTCAACTAAGTTACCAATTCACCATGTATAGGAAAAAGTTAGAAGCTTTCTATAAATAGTTATTTAGAAGATTACTTAGTATTGGTCCTTGTTGCAACTTGTTTCAGGAACTTGAACATGCTAGCTTTCATCAAGATTTTGAAGAAGTTTGACAAGGTAATGCAAGTTCTTTTCTTTCTTCATTTCTTTATCAACACTTTTCTTGGTAAAAAGTTAAGTTCAGGATTAATGAAAGAGATGGGTGTTTTTGTTGTTACTCCTCTTCAGGTGACTGGGAAACAAGTACTTACAATCTACCTCAAAGTTGTTGAAAGCACATACTTCAACAGCTCTGACAAGGTAAACTAAAGTTTAACTTCATTGAATTCTGTCAAGCAAGTAAAAATATATCTTGAGGCTATGATCTTCCTAGGCTGGCTAACATAGACCAATCACCACACTGCAAAAAACTTTGATTGGCTACACACAAGGAAAGATGAGATATTTGCTTGGCTGCCATTAGTCTGTTTCCTAGTCTGATTCTTGTTTGCCGACATTGTGAAGTGGTTGATGATCCTGAAATTCACACACATACATGTTTAAGGAAGATTGTAAACCCAGATCTTCTTGTCCCTCACTTTGAGATGGTTTTTCAGCCAGCCATTCCTTTTGTCCTCCCTATATGCCTATGACAAAGGATAAGAAACAAAAGGTGTTGCTTTTGCTGATTAGTGGGTTTGGGGGAAATGACAGGTGATGAATCTGGCAGATGAAGTTGAAGAACTGTTTGTGAAGCATTTTGCTGAAGAAGACAAAAGAAAAGCCATGAAATATCTTAAGCCACAGCAGCGCAAAGAATCACATAGTGTCACATTCTTAATTGGTAAGCAAGCAACTCCTTCTCTCTGTTCGCCTGTGCATCCGGGTTTTCATGTGTGATTGATTGGTCATCGTGAGAATAGGGTAGCCCATCTCGTAGCTGGGAAGACACTTTCGTTGTACCCTGCTGCTACAGTAGGGTTTTCACTTTTGATCTTGGTTATTTTCGTGTCGGTGAATTGTGTATCTTTGATTTCTCGATAATATGGCGACATACCAAATGTTTCAACAACTCTCTCACTCGCACACAGTGGCATGGAAATTTTGCAGCCTGATATGGCTTTTTTACCTTCCTTTATGTGGCTTCTCGGTTATTGATTTTAGGTGGAATTGCTTTGTTACCTGGTTCTCCTTTATGGACTACAAACAAATGAGTTGAGTTTGAAAAGAAGCTAAAAAAATCATGGCATGGCCCCATCTAAAGGCCACTAGTAGGGTTCAAAATGAAGTGCTAGTAGGCAAGCAGTGCCTGGTTTACCTTTTCTATATTCATTTTTTTCCATGTCACACACCATTATCTGTCTCTTACCAAGGATTGGTGACCCAAAAAAAAAAACTGCCATGATTGTCTAGGGAGATCTCAAACCCTGGCCTGTTGATTGCCTCAACTTTTTTAACAAAGTGATGTGCTTTGTGTCCAACCCTATAGTTCTGTTACTTTCAGGCCACAGAATCACAACAGAATAAGCATATTCCCTTCTTCACTCACCATATATCCCTCAAATCACTCTCTGCTAGTGAACAAATTGGGTTTTAAGCACTATTAATTCATATTATCCTCCACCATAGCCTTAAAATGCTAAATGCATACCACACATGGTGCCATTTGAATGTGATTCTGATTCTAATGTGCCCCCAATTGAACTCTGACATGCATTATGTGTTGATGAATGATCTTTTTTACCACATTACCTGGGTGGCTGGGTTGTATTTTTGTGCCCTAATCTGCTGTTAACAAATGGACAGGATTGTTCACTGGGTGCTTCATTGCCCTCCTAGCTGGATATGTGATCATGGCTCATGTCACCGGAATGTACAGACCGCAGCCAAGGCAAACAAACACAACATTCTATATGGAGACTGCATATCCAGTCCTAAGGCAAGCTTCTTACCTCAGTTTATTATATCCAATATGCAATAATTTAATTTGTTATGATAAGAAAAGTGGACTCATGTTGCTATGTGTATGATGTTTTTGCAGCATGTTCAGCCTCATGTTCTTGCATTTCTTCATGTACGGCTGCAACATTTTGATGTGGAAGAGAACAAGGATCAATTACGCCTTCATATTCGAGCTGGCACCAACCAAGGATCTCAAGTACAGAGATGTGATCTTGATCTGCACAGCTGCGATGACTATTGTTCTCGGAGTCATGCTTGGTCACCTCGCCCTTCTTGCAAAGGGCTACTCTTATTATTCCCACATTCAAGCCATCCCCGGGCTTCTCCTTCTGGTAACTACAAATAAAATTACAATGATGACCACCCTAGTCTTGTATTTTTAGAAGGATATTGACTGATGATTTTCATTCTTCTTCTGCAGGTCTTTCTGGGGTTATTAGTCTGCCCTTTCAACATTTTCTACAAGTCAAGTCGTTACAGGTTCCTCTGCGTCATAAGGAACATTGTTTTATCACCAATGTACAAGGTTGTCATGCTGGATTTCTTCATGGCAGATCAACTCTGTAGCCAGGTTAGAATTCCAAGCTAGCTTTACAAGAGCCTGAAAAGGCCTCATGGATAGATAACTTGTTGCTTAAGAAAACAGTAATACTAATCTTGTGAATTTTGCAGGTGCCAATGCTAAGGAACCTGGAATATGTAGCATGCTACTACATAACAGGAAGCTACAAAACCCAAGACTATAACTACTGCATGAAGGCCAAGCATTACCGCGATCTTGCTTATGCAGTCTCCTTCCTACCCTACTACTGGCGAGCCATGCAGGTAACACAATGATTCGTTAACGACGTCCCTCCTTTCTTATTAGCTAGTCCATTTGAAGCTATACAACTTTTACTGATTTACATAATTCTTGTGCAGTGTGCAAGGAGATGGTTAGATGAAGGGGAGACAAGCCACCTAGTGAATCTAGGCAAGTATGTCTCAGCAATGTTAGCAGCAGGAGCCAAAGTGGCTTATGAGAAAGACAGCAGCGTCGGATGGCTATGTGTTGTTGTGGCCATGTCGAGTGCTGCAACTATTTACCAGTTGTATTGGGACTTTGTAAAGGACTGGGGCTTGCTCCAGATGGACTCCAAGAATCCATGGCTAAGGAACGAACTGATGCTGCGACGAAAATTCATTTACTATTTCTCCATGGTATAATTTGATCTCCTATTGCCACATTATAGGGAACTTGATACCACCATCTAGTTGCATTTATCTACACACCTCATCAAAATGGATGATGAGATCTTTTGAAACAAAAAAGAACAAAAGAACAATAACCTTATTCTGCTTAAGATGTCTTAGATTGAACAAAGAACAGAACCTAATTCCTTTGAGAAGTACAATGGAAATGAGAACAATATATTGTTCTTCTGTTTAGGTGAGTCACCATTATGAACAAAAACAGGAAAAAGTATCTAATCAAGAGTTTTGGCGGTGAACATTTTGCAGGGACTAAACCTTGTTTTGAGGCTAGCTTGGTTGCAAACGGTTCTGCATTCGAGCTTCGAACACGTAGACTACCGGGTAACGGGGCTCTTCTTGGCTGCTTTAGAGGTCATCAGAAGAGGCCACTGGAATTTCTATAGGTGAGAAAAAAGAACCCTTCTTCCTATCTTTCTTTATTTTCCCTTATTCATGGAGCTTGAACTGAAATGATATTTTGATAACCATAGAGCATGTTGGATTAGAGAAGGGGACTGAAAAATAAAATTCTGATTCGAATGAATGGAGCAGGTTGGAGAATGAGCATCTAAATAATGCTGGAAAGTTCAGAGCTGTGAAGACAGTTCCACTTCCATTTCATGAAGTAGATGAAGAAGATTGACTGATCAAAAGATAGAAGATGCCCTTTGATTTGCCCTTCCTCCAACACCATTGGCGCCCATTATTCCTTTGCTTGCCAAATTGGTAGCTGAGGTGCCTCATTTATACTAGCTCAGCTTGGTTTTAGAAAGGGATCATGGAATTTTCCTTTTTTTTATCCTAGAGGACTTATGGGATGATGATGAATCCCCATGCTTCAGATATGTCATTCTCGTTGTTTGTGTCACAAGGCATCATTCACTTCGAACTTTGTCCCTTTTTTATCGGTTCCAAGGAACTTGGAGGAAGAGAAATGAGAGTACTTAAGTAGTAGTAGGAGAAGAAGGCTCATACTTTGTACACAGAATTTATCCATGGCATGGGGAATGAAAAGGAGTAAAAACAAGAACCGGATTTTCGTTTCCCTAAAGCTTGGATCTTAGAGGCTTCTTCCATTTTCTGTAACCCAAATTCAATTTGCCAAGAAACCCAGTTTGCTCATTGACATTGAATCATAAGTAAACATAACCAGTTTGGAATTTGAAGTCCTCAATTCAAAAAGTGTCGGTCTTTGCATATAAACAAGGTTGGAAATAACTTGGGACAGGAAATACCGAATTTGAAAGTCGCCAGCTTTTATCCCGTTTGTTCATAAAGGGCCAACAATTACTTTCTACTCGAGAGCTCTCCGGAGAGAAATCAAGGTTCAGACTTCAGATGAACTTTAGAAGTTCATTCAATATGAAGGCACTTGCGCATGGAAGTTGTTGTCCCGCCATAACTGCCATCTCAAACTCAAGGTTCAGACCTTCGCGACCGTCCGCCAATTCACTCCCATGTCGCGTTTCCTTCGAATCCTTTTCTCCCTCGAGCTCAAAGGCTTCAGCTTTCCGCTTCCCGAGGTTTACTATTCCCAAACCCTAGAATCCCTCTTCTGAGTTTTCAGGCCAATGATGTCTCTCTTGAAAAACTTGGGACTTTTGACTTCATAATAGTATTCAGTTTCGCTGCAAATTTTTGTGGCAGGTTGAGAATCTCGCAGAGTGAGGCAGTCGACCTACAATGCCGCTCTAGGCTTCTGGTGTCTGCGGCGGCGGCGGATGAAGATTCAGAGACGAATTCGGAAGTTGAACCAAACAATTCTTCGGATGGGGTATGCTGGCACCTTTCTGCTCTGCACACATGAATTTGCTTGCTTTGCTGCATCTTCATTCACTAGCACAATTGAACCCTTCATCATTGTAGGCTGCAACAGTGGACATAAAATTGCCGAGGAGGAGTTTGCTTGTGCAATTCACTTGCAATGATTGTGGTGAAAGAACACAAAGGCTTATCAATCGTCTGGCCTATGAGAAGGGACTCGTGTTTGTGCAGGTACTGGAACTAACTTACTATCACATGCACAAATTCAGTCTTTCTGGTTTTCTTGAATGTGGTGAACAGCCAAAATTGCATCGCCCCGCCATCGCAATGGAACTTTCTGATGCCACAGGACTTCATGAATTATTCAGATGTACATTTGCAACTTTTTAGGAGCGTAGTTTGGACTCGATTGACAGTACTTGCATGTTTGTTTTGCCAAGGCACTTGCGAAACCAGTATGATAGTTCGTCTTTGAAAGGAAGATAGAAAATGCAGGAAGAGCTATATGTTTGAATTCACATTTTTCCTCTTCAGTGTGCAGGATGTGAGCAGTATCATAAGTTAGCTGATAATCTTGGTCTCATAGTTGAGTACGATCTACGGGAGGAGATTAAGACCGATCCAAATGCAGAGGAAGTTTGATAACCAAAGATAGATTTTGTACGTGCCTCGTTCTTCTCATGTTTATAATGTAACGCGAATATTTAATCTGCATACTGGCAGATCCAAGAATTAAACAATACAAAAATGTGGATACTGAGCTTGGACAGTTTTGAGGCTGTGCTCTTGCATTACAGTTCCTATTATCATGAGATATTATTTCGTTTGTACGCACAAAACGGTTTCATTTCACAAGGAAATAAGTCCATGGCCCTCGATTATAAGCACCTCAATGATCTTTAGCTGCCTAGCCTGCTGCAGACAGCAGAAGTGCCACAGCTAGTCCAGTTCCTGCCCACATTGCTGTCATTCTTCCCCTCCTATACTGTGAATCTTGCCCATTCTGCATGCACCAATATCAGGGGAACTTTCATTTGTAGTAAATTGAAATGCATAGGACCTCTAGTTTTATAAAGGAGAACGTACCGTATTTGGTGATGGTGCAGGGGCTGTGTCATCATCAGAAGACGTCACTACAGGTGGGGATGGTGGGCTAGGGGGCTTTGGAGCTGGAGCTGGGGCATGATGATGCTTCTTATGCTTGTGAGGCCTCTTCTTGTGCTTGTGTGCAGCTGGGGCAGGTGAAGGCACCACCGATAATGGAGTTGGCGCTGGTGGTGCCATGGGTGGTGGAGTCTGCGGTGCTGGTGCAGGAGCTGGTGGCGGAGTCAGTGGTGCTGGTGCTGGCGCTGGTGGAGGACTAACCGGGACTGGTGCTGGAGCTGGTGTTGCCTTTGCAGGGGCTGGAGGAGGTGTTGCTGGGGGTGGTGGCAAAGCCGGTGGTGGCGTTGCTGGTGCAAAGACAGGCGCAAGAGATTGAGGAGGTGGAGCAGTTGGAGCGGCGACTGGTGCTGCCTTTGGAGATGGCGGCGAGATGGGAGTCTTTGCAGGGATCGGTGACTGTGCTGGTACTGCTGGGGTTGATGGTGGCGGTGATGATGCCGTAGGGGGAGGAACGGTGGTTGTAGGCGGAGGAGTAATAGGTAATGTTGAAGGTGATGCTGCTGGAGTCTGGCCATTGACAACGGCCAAGTGGAAACCACCAAGGCAACCCAAGATGAAAACCCAGAAAATCATTGAAGCCATTTTGCTGTTGTGATGAGAGAATTCAGAGAGACCAGATAGTAAGGTTATATAAGACCAAACATTGAAAAGAATGTTTGGTGAAAGGTGGAGGGAGAGATGTAGTGTTCAAGGTTGGAATGCGACATTGCTACTAATGATTTCGATTATAGCTTCTGATCATGGTCGTGTCAAAATGGATACAGGTTGTGGGTCCTTGAAGGGAAACCATCAGAATTCCTTTTCTCAAACCTTGGCATCAAACTTGCTTAAACTACATTATTTGGCGCCATTGTTAATGAATGCTGGCTGGATTTTCAGTTACCAGCAATGACTTTACGGATCACAATCCCCCCATTCTTTCTTTCTGGTATTAATGCCGATTTGGTGGTGGTGGTGGTGGCGTAAAAGTTGCATGCTTTCTGCTGTTTTGCTCGTTCTGAAAACGATTCAGGACTTGCCATTGGTAATTCTGGCAAGAAAAATTAGGTGGGCTTGATTATGATGGCAGGTTCATTTCACCCTGCTGTCCTATTGATCGAGATGTTGCTCCTAATACCATGACTTTGCGTGGGTATGGTGGCGCTGTCTTGAGTTTAGAAGGAGGAATCAGAGGGTCAGGATTCAGGGTTTATCATCTGTTTCCACTTTTGTCACACATACACTTGACTTTGGGGAAAATGTAAATATTAGCTATACAAAATGCTTTTTAGTTACAATTTTAGTCAGAATTTACGCATTAAAACTTAAAATCTTACGTTTTACGCTTTTAGATCACTAAAACGCTTCTACGTGGAATCACACTTTCTAGTTACAATTTTAGTCGGAATCTATACTTTAACGCTTAAAATTCTTACGTTTTTACGCTTTTCAAGTCCTTGATGAATCCTTGGATAAAATCTCATCAAGGATTTATGGCATGTTTCAAATCCCACATCAACATGTGAGATTTGCAACTCCGTGAGGTCCACAGATTTGGTCCACAAAAAAGTGCAACCAAACATTGAATTTTCCGTAAATCCATGAATTCCATCATCCAAATGCGCGAAGCAAACAACCCCTTAAGTAATGATAAATGATTTGAGCACCCCAAATCCATCATCCAAATCCACGAAACAAACTAGCCCTAGCCCTATTAAGAGATTTTATATGTGGTTTAATCAAAATTAATAAGAAAGAAATTAGGTTGACCCATAATGAGAAGTCAAACTTCAAAACCCAAAAGCACGGCCGCTTGCTTTCCTTTTCTCTCACAAGTCGCAACATCCCAGTACTAAGTAGCACACTGTCACTCGCAAGCAAAGCCCTAGCTGCTGTTTATCCGAAAGAAGAAGAAAATGATGAAGCTTTCGACGCGATTCCTCCAGCAACTTCACTCCACCAGGTGAGACCCAACCCACCAACTCTCCTTCTCTTCTTACTTCCTCTTCTTGATGATGTTGATTTGGACCATAATCGCTTCGTCATTTGCTTCCGCAGGAACACTTCACTTGGGAAATCAGCCGTCACCGGAGACGCTCTTCTTCGCCTCCAATCTCCCATTTCCACCGCTGCTGCAGGCAACGCCGGTATGACTCTTTCATCTCCGTATAGTTCCTTCTTTCTTCGCGCAATATATCCCCCTCAGAAAGTTAGGGCTTTTTTTCGTTGTGTGTGCTGTTACTGTAGATAATTTTGCTAGGGATCGGATATATGCACCCTTCTCTGTCTTCAAAGGGAAAGCTGCTCTTTCCGTCGAACCCGTCCTCCCAACTTTCACTAAGATCGGCGTAAGTGAATTTGTTTGAGTTTAGCAGCGTCATCTGTCAAACCCCATTTACTTGTTTCTTCCTTACTTCTATATTGACGTCGAGCTTCCTTCATCTTCTTCAGGCGGGAGCTCTTAAGGTTGGCCGGTCTGGTACCATGATGATGACCTTCGTGCCTGCCATCGGTGAGCGCAAGTATGACTTTGAGAGAAAACAGGTTCTACTACCCTCACTTTCTTTTCCTTTGCAGGATTGAGCTATCACCCTACTTCCCCAATTTCGTTTCCTTGTACTAGTTTGGGAGGCTCTGAATCCTATTTTTCTGTGCTTCCATTTGCAGAAGTTCGCTCTCTCGGCAACAGAGGTTGGGTCTTTGATAAGCATGGGTCCCAAAGATTCCTCTGATTTCTTCCATGATCCCTCCTTGAAGTCGAGGTTGGCATTTCTCATTCCTGTGTTTTCCAACTTGTTTTCTGTGAGTTGTTTCTTGAAACTTGACCAAACTGTGTGATTCCAGTAATGCTGGTCAAGTGAGGAAGTCCTTGTCAATCAAACCTCATGCTGATGGTAGCGGCTATTTCATTTCTCTGAGTAAGCTATCTGGCTGTATCGTTGTTTTTCACTTTCAAGGCTATAGGTTCTCTGCCTCTTCAAGTTGAAACCCAGTTCCTCAAATCCTAAATGGATGCCATCACCCCTTTGTTTGCTACATTTGTTAGTGAAACTGAATGGGATAAGCTTTCTATGCTCTTCAACCTTGACATGATGCATTTTCTGTCAGCTTCCTTAGAAATGACAACTGTCTTGTTGTGCTAAGAATGATGCATTATTTGAGCTTTTTCCTGTAATGTTAAACTTAAAAAATTGACAAGTTTATTCTTCGGTGAAAGACCTCGGAAGTAGTGTTGTAGCACCGTGTCCTTGTAATTCTGTGTTGTCAAGGTAGCAGGTCTGCATGTAGTCATCGATTTTAATTGCTTTTCCAGTGCTCATTGACCATGAAGAGTTCCAATCTGATGATCCGCACAGAAATTTGGTTACTTATTATGGCTCTGGTTGTTGTAGATGTTTAAGGGGGATGGTTTTCTTGCTCTAACTCGATAGTTTTGGATCAACTCTAATTCTGTTTCAGCTGTTGTCAACAACATTCTCCAAACCAATGACCGTGTAACTGTTCCTGTCACAACAGCTGAATTTGCAGTTTTGAAGACAGCTTGCAGTGTATGATCCTGTTTCTCCCTTCCTAGAGCATACACTCTGGTTTTTCACTTGTGAATATGTACATGTGGTAGTTAATCAATTCAGGCCATTCTTTTGCTGTGCGTTATCTCCATAAACAACTGTTCTTGATGCTTGGGGATCTTAGTTTTGTTTTGGGTCAATCGTGGATCAATTTCTGTGAAGTCTTTTGTGATGCATTCTAGTTTATGTTTCTGAGTCTTGGTCTTCCTGCAGTTTGCCTTGCCACATATCATGGGTTGGGATCGATTAACTTCACCACAGGCGAAAGATGCGGAGCATCCAGCAAAACTGAAATTGCAGCGAGAGTTGGAATGGGATAAATGATAGGCAGGCACCACTGGTTGTCGTTTTAGGGATTAATGCTCTGGAGATTAGTCTAGTCTGCTTTTCTGTTGGGCTGTTTTTGTTCATGTTTTCCTCCAGACGAAATTGCCCACCACTATGTTGGAAAACTGCGAAGTATTGGTGACTTGTTAGATGCACGTAATGCCTGTAATTATTATGGTTTTCCAGACTTGTACTGAGTTAATTAGAATTAGATTATGATTTGCAATCAGCACAAGTGTTTATTGTTAAGTTACATTACACACCCAAGCAAAATTGAACATAATGCCAGAAATAGTCCATCTCTTACAAACAGAACATGACGTGGAAAATATCATGCATCTTCTTGAGAATCTTTGATGGATGATTTGAGACTCGCACCAGCGAATTCTGGGGAGAATGCTGCTGCTGCTGCTCTTCCTTGCTATTGTTAATCTTTGTCTTTCTCCTTAGCTGGAAGAACGACTGCATCACGTCTGCACAGTCTGCTGCCAGTAGGCCTCGCCGAATCGTCATTTTGGGATGGAAAGGGTGGACTGGGGGAGCTGGCTTATTTGTTTCCAATCCATTACCTCCTTCCCCATTTGGGAATATCCTGCAAAAAGAAAAAAAGAAATATGATCGTGTTGATTCATCAAGGTTGTTCTAGTTCATGAATGCTCGCATTTGCTCATATGCCTTCGCACCCAATTTATAGTCTCAATTATGTTTATGATTACTGCTATTGCTGATTTTGAGCAACTAGAGCCGATCGTAAGCGGATTCAAATAGCTGAGATACAGAGATAAGAGGCGACTTACCTAATCCAACTTCCATCAGCTCCAAGAAGCTTATTGGGAGCTCCCCATACAAGAGTGTCTATTCTTGCCTGAAGGATTGCTCCAGCACACATAGTACATGGTTCCAGTGTTACGTAAAGTGTTGTCTCCTGAATACCAAAAACATGGACAAAACAGAAATATCATACACTGGACAGGACTGAAAATATATCTACCACCTTTTTTTAAAGCTTGGTAAAGAGGAACTCGAGATTTACCGCAAGCCTCCATGAACGAAGTTGATTTGAACCCTCGCGGATGCAAATCATCTCTGCATGTGCAGTAGAGTCACGCAACTCCTCCACTCTGCAATTCAATGTCCCTAAACCCTCAGAAGAAGATAAGCTAACGCCACCTACAAATATTTATTTGGCTAACTAGAAATGTTAACTTACAAGTTGTAGCCCCGTGCAATAATCTTGCCATGTTGTACAAGCACAGCACCGACAGGTACCTCCCATATATCTGCAGCCTTCTTCGCTTCTACCAACGCTTCTCTCATGAACATCTCATCAATCTTACGCTGCTCACTTTCGCGTATATAGGCCTCTTCCCAGTCATCGAATCTGTCTCTTATCACCTGCTTGTTCCGCTGAAGCTTCCTTCCTTTAACCTCCCCATCTTTCTCCCCAGAACCACTTGCTGATGCATCACTTTTATGAGTATCTAAACTCGGCTTTACAATGGGACTACTCCGTGCACTTAAAGGCAAGGAAATCGAGGGTGTTTCCCCAAGTCTAACGCTAGAAGGAGCAACTTGAGATCTCTTTCCTTCTGGACTAAAGTCAAGGTCCTTTTCTCCAGCGGGAGAAGTAAAACCTCTAGAGGTCGACCCACTTTTCAATATGATTGAAGGAGACGCCATACGTTTTGTTTCACCTGTATCTGATGCTTCTCCACGCCTCTGACTAGAAGTATGGCTTAGTAATACTTGATCAGAACTGCTTGTCTCCTTTTTTAGAGTTCCTTCACTCCTTTCATCAGGATCACGTCCAGAAAACCATGCCTCGCTAGCAGCAGAATCGTTTGACGACGTCTTCCCACCTGTTGATTTAGAGGTTTCTGCACGTGGTGAACTCCAGCGCAATCTAACTATATCCCCAATGATAGCCCACATGGATTTCCCAGTTTTCCTAATTGTAGAACGTTCGGTAACTACTGAACTTCCTGCCTCATTGGTACCTTGGAGTTCCTCTGCTGCTTCTGCCTTTGGAGGTTCATGAACAGATGGGTTTCTGACATCCCATATCTCGTCAGACGGACCCTTTTCACCAGAATCTGCAGATGAACCTCTTGAATTATTCCCCTTTGATACTTCAGCTTCAGAACTTGGTTCATGATGCCTTGCCCTCTCAACAAACTCCCCAACGTACTGCATGGATGATTCTTCCTGACGACGAGCTGAACCAAGAACATCTCCAGGGTTATGAAGATACAAAGAGTTGTCATTAAACCCACCTTCTTCTAGGTCTCCATACTGTGGTTCTTGACGAATTCCAGGGACACTCATATCTCCTTCAGAAACATCTTGAACTTGAACTCCACCAGCTGGATCTTCACGGAATGAACTTCTAGCTACTAGTTGATGTGATGGAGGCACCATTACAGCCTCTGATCTTATTCTCTCAATGGCCTCCTCTGAAGTCTGGGGACTGGAAGCTCTTTCTGAAGTTCTTCTACGAAGGCTAGAGGTTTTACGAACCCCTTGTGGCTCATGTACTAATAGAGGGCGACGTGCTCCTGTTTCCTGAATGGGTTTTGCAGTTGATGTATCGTCACCTCCTTGATTGACAATTATCTGTTGGGAATTTCTCTGAGAATTCACCACTGTCTCTGTATTGCTAATAGTATTAACCAAGGATACATTAGTGAGATTAACTGTTAAGTTAGTCGCATCTTTCGGCCCTTTCCTGGATTGAACTCTCTCAAGTGGCTTCTGATCTGTGCGGGGAAATCTTTGCCCTTTTGCTTCTGACTCTGAATGCTGACTATATGACTTACCTCTATATTGCTGGTGACCTTCGGACATTTGAGGTGATTGTTTTGAACTCATTGTGGATTCAACTTCACCCATCACTTTGCTTGGGCCAATTTGGTCCCTTTTGTCACTAGCCTCCCAATACGAACTGAGAGCTTTACGTTCTTCCTGGGTCTTTGTTCTAGATTCAGACTGCTTCTGAAAAGTAGAAACTGTTCCTAAACCAGCATTTCCCATATCTGTGTTCTTAAGAAGTTCATTGCTGCTGCTGTTTCTATCTTTTCCACTTCTACCAACCATTCCTTCTCCACCAGGCGACAACCTGTGATACCTGGAAGCTGCTCCATTATCCGTTTCATGAATATCTTGCCTACCTGTCACTTGCTGACTATTTCTTCTCACTTCTGCCTGTTTCTCTACCTTGTTGTTCCCTCTCTGATTATATCTAGCAGTCGCACGTTTCTCCTGACTAACCACCACAGCTGATTCCTCCTTGTCATCACTTACCTTGTATTCATGGGGAAAATCATCGATTTTTGTACTAGAATTCATTGACTTCATGTGATTATCTTCGTTGGTACTATCTGTTCTTGATTGAAGTTGTGAAGAATGCTTTATGTATTCAGTTTCCTCGAAGTCAGTAAGTTTCTTCTCAGATTTCTTCCTCAAATCCCATTCAATGCTACTGACCCTTGTCCTATGTTCTGAGACCTCCTTCTGCTTCTCTGAATCCTCTGGATGTTTCTCAAAAGCTCCAACCACTTGACCTTGCGAGCTGCTTTCACCCAACTCGTTCATGTATCCAGTAGACGGTTCCTCCTCATGAACTTCCTCATCATTCTCAAATTCTTCCTCAGAAGATAGTGAGTAATAAGATGACAAACTAGCAGTACCAGTCCTTACCTTGCTGTTTTCTCCCCTGTAAACATCCCTGCTATCCTTCTTCTTCTCATTCCTCTCATCCTTCGTTCTTGACTCTTCTTTCTTGAACTCATTGGTATTTGACTCAAACTCACACCTAGACTTACTAGCCAACAACCTTAATCTCAATTGCTTATTCCTCTGGCTTTCACATTCTCCGCCAACATAACTCCCTTGCCTCACCTTCTGCAATCTCTCCGAAAACTCCCCGATTCTCCTCCTATGATCTAGATACTCCTTGCCCACTTCCTCACTCAACAAATTAATCACAGCCTCAGCATCATTAACACCATCTAAACACCGCCTACGCTGTGAATTCACTTGCCTATGCCTCACTTCCTTCCTTCTCCCTCCAATTCTTTCCTTACCACTACTCTCCTCAAATGAACAAGGCACCTCATAACCACCAAGATCAAACCCATACCCTGGGACCCGGTTATAGCACCAGGTTCTTCCACCCAAGTTCATTCTCCTAGAAGGCGGACACTGAATAAGACTGGATTGCCGCAACCCGTACAACAGAAAGCTGGGTTTGATAGCAAATGAAGATTTGGATAACGATGGTGAACCACAACAGGAGCAGCAAGCACAACAAGAACAGCACTGCGATGAATGTGAATGAGAAGAAGGTGGTAGTGATAGAGCAAATGGGGTTCGCTCAAATCGTTCACAGAACAAGTTAGAAGAGCAGTCGTTGGAGGAAATCGAGATGGAGCCATGATGGGTTCCAATTGAGAGTAGTGTTGAGGTGGTGTAAGTGTGGTGCATAGCTGATGGTGAAGGGAAAAGCTACGAAGGGGCCAGGTGGAGAAGTAGCAGGGGACTTGGCTTTACCTCTGTGGGATTTGGAAGGTTGGTGAAGATGGAACTGAGATTGGTGAATCCATCTCGTGCGGAGTGTAATTGATGGGAACCGATCGTTGCGGAGAAGGGAAATGGATGGGCTGTTTGTCGGGTCGAGTGCGCCGTAGTTGAGTTGGATGTCCAATTGTGAAAACGAAATCTATGTGCGGTGGTGGGGATCTCGTGGAACCACTTTAAAGGAGGGTCCAGATTTAATAACCGATAGGTGCATAATTCATCAACGGATTGAATTTTTTGGACTCGCTTAAAAGAAGGTTCCAGATTTAGTAACCGATAGGTATATAACCATGGGTTATGCACAATATCTAGAGCCTGTGGTTGGGCCAATGCAGTACGAGCAATCTTAGACTCGTTAATCTCGTGTTATGCTTGAAAGAGTGATTGTGCCTTGCACGTTGGTGGTAAGACTATTAAAGAGT